AATTTGTTTTCTAGTTTAGCTCAGCATCCGCTGGATCAATCAAAAAGTGCGCCATACATTTTTTGTTCGCTACTTTTTGCTAAAGAATTTGGCGGTATTCCCGAACGATTATCTCGCGAATTTAATTTTTCGAAAATTTTTCCGAAATATTTTTGAGTGTAGCTCAGCATCCGCTGGACCAATCAAAAAGTCCGCCATACATTTTTTGTTCGAAACTTTTTCCCTATTTTATTGGTGGTATTCCCGAACGATTATCACGCGAATTTAAATTTTCGAAAATTTTTCCAAAATATTTTTGAGTGTGGCTCAGCATCCGCTGGACCAATCAAAAAGTCCGCCATACATTTTTTGTTCGAAACTTTTTCCCTATTTTATTGGTGGTATTCTCGAACGATTATATCGCGAATTTAATTTTTCGAAAATTTTTCCGAATTTGTTTTCTAGTTTAGCTCAGCATCCGCTGGACCAATCAAAAAGTGCGCCATACATTTTTTGTTCAGATCTTTCTTCTAATCACTATGGCGGTATTCCCGAACGATTATCTCGCGAATTAAGTTTTTCGAAAATTTTTCCGAATTTGTTTTCTAGTTTAGCTCAGCATCCGCTGGACCAATCAAAAAGTGCGCCATACATTTTTTGTTCGCTACTTTTTGCTAAAGAATTTGGCGGTATTCCTGAACGATTGTCTCGCGAATTTAATTTTTCAAAAATTTTTCCAAAATATTTTTGAGTGTGGCTCAGCATCCGCTGGACCAATCAAAAAGTCCGCCATACATTTTTTGTTCGAAACTTTTTCCCTATTTTATTGGTGGTATTCTCGAACGATTATATCGCGAATTTAATTTTTCGAAAATTTTTCCGAATTTGTTTTCTAGTTTAGCTCAGCATCCGCTGGACCAATCAAAAAGTGCGCCATACATTTTTTGTTCGAAACTTTTTCCCTATTTTATTGGAGGTATTCCCGAACGATTATCTCGCGAATTAAGTTTTTCGAAAATTTTTCCGAATTTGTTTTCTAGTTTAGCTCAGCATCCGCTGGACCAATCAAAAAGTGCGCCATACATTTTTTGTTCGCTACTTTTTGCTAAAGAATTTGGCGGTATTCCCGAACAATTATCTCGCGAATTTAATTTTTCAAAAATTTTTCCAAAATATTTTTGAGTGTAGCTCAGCATCCGCTGGACCAATCAAAAAGTGCGCCATACATTTTTTGTTCAGAACTTTCTTCTAATCACTATGGCGGTATTCCCGAACGATTATCTCGCGAATTAAGTTTTTCGAAAATTTTTCCGAATTTGTTTTCTAGTTTAGCTCAGCATCCGGTGGACCAATCAAAAAGTGCGCCATACATTTTTTGTTCGCTACTTTTTGCTAAAGAATTTGGCGGTATTCCTGAACGATTGTCTCGCGAATTTAATGTTTCAAAAATTTTTTCAAAATATTTTTGAGTGTGGCTCAGCATCCGCTGGACCAATCAAAAAGTACGCCATACATTTTTTGTTCGAAACTTTTTCCCTATTTTATTGGTGGTATTCCCGAACGATTATCTCGCGAATTTAATTTTTCGAAAATTTTTCAAAAATATTTTTGAGTGTAGCTCAGCATCCGCTGGACCAATCAAAAAGTGCGCCATACATTTTTTGTTCGCTACTTTTTGCTAAAGAATTTGGCGGTATTCCCGAACGATTATCTCGCGAATTTAATTTTTCGAAAATTTTTCCGAATTTGTTTTCTAGTTTAGCTCAGCATCCGCTGGACCAATCAAAAAGTGCGCCATACATTTTTTGTTTGCTACTTTTTGCTAAAGAATTTGGCGGTATTCCCGAACGATTATCTCGCGAATTTAATTTTTCGAAAATTTTTCCGAAATATTTTTGAGTGTAGCTCAGCATCCGCTGGACCAATCAAAAAGTGCGCCATACATTTTTTGTTCAGAACTTTCTTCTAATCACTATGGCGGTATTCCCGAACGATTATCTCGCGAATTAAGTTTTTCGAAAATTTTTCCGAATTTGTTTTCTAGTTTAGCTCAGCGTCCGCTGGACCAATCAAAAAGTGCGCCATACATTTTTTGTTCGCTACTTTTTGCTAAAGAATTTGGCGGTATTCCTGAACGATTGTCTCGCGAATTAAGTTTTTCGAAAATTTTTCCGAATTTGTTTTCTAGTTTAGCTCAGCATCCGCTGGACCAATCAAAAAGTGCGCCATACATTTTTTGTTCGCTACTTTTTGCTAAAGAATTTGGCGGTATTCCCGAACGATTATCTCGCGAATTTAATTTTTCGAAAATTTTTCCGAAATATTTTTGAGTGTAGCTCAGCATCCGCTGTACCAATCAAAAAGTCCGCCATACATTTTTTGTTCGAAACTTTTTCCCTATTTTATTGGTGGTATTCCCGAACGATTATCTCGCGAATTAAGTTTTTCGAAAATTTTTCCGAATTTGTTTTCTAGTTTAGCTCAGCATCCGCTGGACCAATCAAAAAGTGCGCCATACATTTTTTGTTCAGAACTTTCTTCTAATTACTATGGCGGTATTCCCGAACGATTATCTCGCGAATTTAATTTTTCGAAAATTTTTCCGAATTTGTTTTCTAGTTTAGGTCAGCATCCGCTGGACCAATCAAAAAGTGCGCCATACATTTTTTGTTCAGAACTTTTTGACTATTTTTTTGGTGTTATTCTTGAGCGATTAGGTCGCAAATTTAATTTTTTGAAAATTTTTCCAAAATGTTTTGAAGTGTAGCTCAGCCTCCGCTGGACCAATCAAAAAGTGCGCCATACATTTTTTGTTCGAAACTTTTTCCCTATTTTATTGGAGGTATTCCCGAACGATTATCTCGCGAATTAAGTTTTTCGAAAATTTTTCCGAATTTGTTTTCTAGTTTAGCTCAGCATCCGCTGGACCAATCAAAAAGTCCGCCATACATTTTTTGTTCGAAACTTTTTCCCTATTTTATTGGTGGTATTCCCGAACGATTATCTCGCGAATTAAGTTTTTCGAAAATTTTTCCGAATTTGTTTTCTAGTTTAGCTCAGCATCCGCTGGACCAATCAAAAAGTGCGCCATACATTTTTTGTTCGCTACTTTTTGCTAAAGAATTTGGCGGTATTCCCGAACGATTATCTCGCGAATTTAATTTTTCGAAAATTTTTCCGAAATATTTTTGAGTGTAGCTCAGCATCCGCTGTACCAATCAAAAAGTCCGCCATACATTTTTTGTTCGAAACTTTTTCCCTATTTTATTGGTGGTATTCCCGAACGATTATCTCGCGAATTAAGTTTTTCGAAAATTTTTCCGAATTTGTTTTCTAGTTTAGCTCAGCATCCGCTGGACCAATCAAAAAGTGCGCCATACATTTTTTGTTCAGAACTTTCTTCTAATTACTATGGCGGTATTCCCGAACGATTATCTCGCGAATTTAATTTTTCGAAAATTTTTCCGAATTTGTTTTCTAGTTTAGGTCAGCATCCGCTGGACCAATCAAAAAGTGCGCCATACATTTTTTGTTCAGAACTTTTTGACTATTTTTTTGGTGTTATTCTTGAGCGATTAGGTCGCAAATTTAATTTTTTGAAAATTTTTCCAAAATGTTTTGAAGTGTAGCTCAGCCTCCGCTGGACCAATCAAAAAGTGCGCCATACATTTTTTGTTCGAAACTTTTTCCCTATTTTATTGGAGGTATTCCCGAACGATTATCTCGCGAATTAAGTTTTTCGAAAATTTTTCCGAATTTGTTTTCTAGTTTAGCTCAGCATCCGCTGGACCAATCAAAAAGTCCGCCATACATTTTTTGTTCGAAACTTTTTCCCTATTTTATTGGTGGTATTCCCGAACGATTATCTCGCGAATTAAGTTTTTCGAAAATTTTTCCGAATTTGTTTTCTAGTTTAGCTCAGCGTCCGCTGGACCAATCAAAAAGTGCGCCATACATTTTTTGTTCGCTACTTTTTGCTAAAGAATTTGGCGGTATTCCTGAACGATTGTCTCGCGAATTAAGTTTTTCGAAAATTTTTCCGAATTTGTTTTCTAGTTTAGCTCAGCATCCGCTGGACCAATCAAAAAGTGCGCCATACATTTTTTGTTCAGAACTTTCTTCTAATTACTATGGCGGTATTCCCGAACGATTATCTCGCGAATTTAATTTTTCGAAAATTTTTCCGAATTTGTTTTCTAGTTTATGTCAGCATCCGCTGGACCAATCAAAAAGTGCGCCATACATTTTTTGTTCAGAACTTTTTGACTATTTTTTTGGTGTTATTCTTGAGCGATTAGGTCGCAAATTTAATTTTTTGAAAATTTTTCCAAAATGTTTTGAAGTGTAGCTCAGCCTCCGCTGGACCAATCAAAAAGTGCGCCATACATTTTTTGTTCGAAACTTTTTCCCTATTTTATTGGAGGTATTCCCGAACGATTATCTCGCGAATTAAGTTTTTCGAAAATTTTTCCAAAATATTTTTGAGTGTAGCTCACCATCTGCTGGACCAATCAAAAAGTGCGCTATACATTTAACAAAAGTTTTTCTTTGAAAATTTGAAAAGACAATCTTTGCTTTACCAAACAAAATGGTAGTTGCATAATACCAAGAAAAGTAATTGCTGAGAAAAAACAATTTCTATCAAAATGAGGGTTATAATAATAGTAATTATAATAATTACTATCAACGGTTATTTATTTTATTTTTGTATAATTTAATTTGTCAACGCTGGGCTTTTAAAAGATTAAAAATTAATCTCGTTTAGAAAAAATATAATCACGTCAAAAGATTGTTTTTAAATTATTTCTTTAAAAAAGTAAGTCGATTTTTTTGCATATTAAAAAAGTAGATATTTGAAATATTTATTTTTATTTAGAAAAATTTCACATCTGTGTATATATTTTTTTTCGAATTTTTTTAATTGAAATCAAATTTGTTTTTATGGGAATTTTCTTTTCTTTTTTTAAGTAAATATAATTTGTGGGCATAAAAAAAAAATGAAAAATCGATTATTTTTGCAGCCAAACAGTGCTCTAAGTGCAAGATGGCCAAAAGCAGGTGAAATAAAACAAAATTTAATAAAATCATCACAATATTTAATGGACGCTGCACATTCGTTTAGATTATTTTTAAAAAATCACATGACACCACCAAAAAGTAAGGACAAGACAAAAATAATTGTGGAAAAACCAAATACTGCAATTATTTGGGTGGCAAAAACTTTCCCACGTTGGCAAAGTATCGTTCTCACTACAATGAAAGACCTCTATAATGTAAGGAATTTTTTTGTTCACTATTTTATGAATTTTATTTTATTATTTTAAAATAAAAAAATTTCTACTATTTTTATTTTATTTATTATTTATAAACAAAATATTTTTGTAGAAAAATGGAGGAAAATTGCCCGACAATAAAGTGATATCAACTGCTTTGAATTTGGAAGTTGAATTAAAGAAATATATGAAAAAAGTAATGCCATTTGTTCAGGCGACAAGGGAGAAAATTGAATTGATTGGAGTTAAAGCATTTCAATTGACTCTCGATTTTGACGAAGCTGATGTATTGGAGAAGAATAAAAAATATATTTCCGATACTTTAGACGTAAGTTGTATAGTTTTTTTTTTTCTCAATAATGAAAGTAAAAAATTTTTAAATATTTGGGTAATTTTTTTTTTTTTTTTAAGTTGGAAAAAGTGGAAATAAAATTCACAGACGAAGCGCCAGAAAAAACAAAAGAGGAATGTTGTCCTGGTGCACCTTACATTAGTTTTTTCACTCAACCAGGAATATTTGTAAATATTTCAAATCCTGTACCATGTAATGGTTTATTCACAACTTCGGTGAAGGTTGTCGATGGCGATAGTGTAGCAAATGTAATTTCTAAAATTGCGAAAGGAAATAAGCGAATTGAAGGTAATTATTTTTAATATATCAAAAGGGGAAATTAATTTTATTGATTCGTTAATTTAGTATTTTTCTATTTTCTATTATTTTATTACTATTTTATTTTTTTACTATTCAATTTTTTTACTATTCTATTATTTTATCATTCTATTATTTTATCATTCTATTATTTTATCATTCTATTATTTTATTATTATTTATACCTTTGTTATTATTTATAATTTTCTTAATTCATCTTAAATTCTCTTCTTTACTTTATTCGTCTTTAATTTATCGAAAAAATTTATTTATTTAATAATTAAATTTTGTTTCTTTATTTTTGTTGTTTTTTTTTGTTGAAATTTTTTGTTGAAATTTTGTCTTTATTTATTTCTATTTTTATTTTATTATATTTTTTATTTTTTTTTGCTTTATTTATTTATTTCTTTTTTTCTTATAGACTCAAAATCCCTGGTCCTGCAACGATTCGATGACACAATTCTAGGTCCAAGAACAATACCAAATCCATCGAGTCCAATGAAGGGCAAAAAGGAATTATCAAATGATGCCACTTTTAAAGTGGATTTGGATAAAGATGTCGTGTTTGTTGAACGTGAACCAGGAAAATTTATCAATATTGAAAAACAACTCAATTATACAGTGCGTAGTTAACTAAAGAAAAAAAAGAAAAGTTAAGTGAAAAAATTTTATTTTCTATTTTCTATATTTATCCAAAGTGACTGATAGGATTTAAAAAAAAGAAAAAGAATTATTGAAATATTTTGCAAGTTATTACATTCTCTTCGTTTTTCTTCATCTTCTATTTTAATAAAGATAATTTTACTCGTACTAAGCGAATTTCATTTTGAAATTGAGGAGAGATAATGACTTAATTACCAATTGCAACATAATTTAATAATAATAATAATAATTAATATTAATTTAACAATATTAGAATTTTTTTTCGAATGGTTTACATAATTCTTTTTTTCAATTTTCGTTACAATTTATTTGATATTTTCTCATAAATGTTGAGTTTTTTAAAAATTTTTTTTTACGAAATTTCAATGAAACTACATCCAAATTTTTGTATATTAGATTCTTATTTTAAAATTTATTTTTATTTAAATAAAATTTTGCTATTGAAAACATTTTCATTTAAACAAATTTTATTTTTTTATTTAACAAAATTTTCCATTTCATGTAATTTTTTATATTGTCTTATTTTTATTTAACGGAATTTTCATTTAGCCGATTTTTCATTTAACCGAATTTTCTTTTCATCATTAAACATTTTAATTGAATTTGAATTTTAAAAAAACTTTTTTTTATCAAAATTTATATATAGGAAAATTTTTATCAGGTCAAATATTTATTAAGCAGCATTTTCTATTTAGAAAATTGATTTGATAAATTAAAAAAATTTCAATTTTTTTTTTGTAATTTGTTTTTGATAAATAAAAATGTTTCGTTTTAAATTAAAAATTCATTGGAAAATTTTGTTTAATAAAATTTTTTTGGCAAAATGAATATAAATTGTGTTTAAAAAATATTGAATCCGGTATGGAAATTTTTTTTTTTTTTTTTGGTTGCTAAATTGAAAATTCTTTTAAAATAAGAATTTATTTACACAAAGAAAAGTTAAATATAAAAATTCTTAGTTTTGAGAAATTAGTTTCATTGTAAATTTTCTACTTTATTTGAAATTTTGTATTAATTTAATAAAAATTAAGTTATCAATATTTTTCTTTTAATTCTTTCGCTAAATTCGAAAGTCGATAATTTGGAATTCAATGCCAGGGGGAAAAATTCTTATAATTTTTTTTAGTATTCGTCACTAAAAAATAATATTGATAAAAAAAATTCTTTTTAAAATTTCCGTGTTTATAATATTCATAAAGCGTTCCTTTTTTTTTGCATACATCGGTTTTAGTCAATATAAATTGATAAGAACGCCAAGATTTTCGTGCATTAAATCATCATTGCTCCACATTACATTTGAATAATACAAATGATAATTTTAAATTGTCATTATTCTCGTTAATCCGATATTATATGCCTTAAATTGAGGACAAAATGATATTGAAACTGAATTTAAAATATTATAAAATATTATAAAATATATAAAATATTATATACAAATTTTATATATTTTTATATACAATGTATATAATATAAATAGTAAAAAATAGAAAGTATTTTAATAGCCACAAAAAAAAATTACCTTACGAACATAATTTTCCTTTCTTTTTTTTTCTTTTTTAATGAAAAATTTATTTCCTAAAAAAAAAATTCTTACTTATTCCCATGATAATTATCAATTTGTGCCTTAATTTTTTTAATTGTTGTTACATTTGTTCGACAGCATCCGCCAATAAAACGAACGCCAAGATCGAGCCATTCGTGTATAAATTTTTCCGGTGGCAATGTATTACATTCAAAGCGCCAACCTTCGGGTACAGAATATTTTTCACCACTATTTGGATAGACAATAAGTGGTATAAAATCATTATTAGCCGTTTTTGAATTAATATTACTAAGTAGAGGTGTGACAAATTTTGGTGCAATACAATTGACGCCAATTGCAAGAATTTGTCCGGGTAGTGCTTGCTTATAGCAGCGTATTGCTGTTTCTTTGAAATTTGTACCGTCAGCTAAATTTTCACCATCGTCACGACATGAAAATGCAAGCCAAGCTTTTGTCTCCGGGTAATTGCGTAATAATTCAATAAGTGCATTGGCCTCAGTTGCACATGGAATTGTTTCCAATGCAAGCATATCGACACCGGCATTTATTAATGTTTCAATTCGTGGTCGATGCCAATTTATTAATTTTTCATGGGTTACAGTTTTTGCATAGGCACCAGTATATTCTGAGGCGTCGTGAAGTGCAGCTCCATATGGTCCACATGAGCCCGCTATCAATGGTTTTCGATTTATCTGCTGTTTAGTTGAGAAAAATAAAAAATTAACAATTTTTTTTTTTCGAAACGATTTTCAGTCACACGATATTAAAATAAATTTGTTTCTTCTTTTGGGAGAGAGGAAAAAATTTTTATTTTTCCCTCCCTAAAAAAAAAAAAAATGTCTATTACCTGATTTATTAATTTTATTTATTTATTTAATCACAATAATATTTTGTAAATAATTTTCCATTTTTTTTTCTTATTTTTCTAATTTAAATTTGTTTTTCTCTTTTCAATATTCAATTGTTTTCCGAATTTAAGAGAAATTTAAAAACCAAATAAATTTACAGACAAAATTATAATATCAGTTAAAAAAAAAATCAGTAAAAAATTTAAAAATAAAAATTACAAAATTATTTTTTGGTGAAAAAATTCAGGTATATAAAATTTATTTCAATAAATAAAAATTGTGATTAAATAAATAAATTTTAAAAGAGGCAGACAATTGGTAAACAAATTGTATTTAAAAATAAATTTTCACAAAATTTTTAACAAAAATAAGGAAAAAATTATCGAAAAAAAAAAAAAAAAAAATTTTGCTAATAAATTTATTCAGTGAAACGAAAAGAATTTATTTAAAAAAATAAACAGAAAAGAAAATTTAACAAAGAAGTAGAGAAAAGTCAATAACCTGAGGATTGACAAAAGAAGATAATATTATTTTTTTTTTTTTATCGAAAACAGAGTCCAGACGAGGAAATTCATCAAAGAGATAAAAAAAATATATATGTATACTTCTTAAATTATCGAATAAGAAAAATTTAAAAAAAAATAGAATAAAAATTAATAAATAAAAATATAGGGGAAACATTTTTTTATGTTAAAAATAAAATTTTTAAACAAATTTTGGAAAAAAAAATAACGAAGAGGAGCAAAATAATTAAAAAAAAAAATAAAGAAATAAAAATAAAATAAATAAAAAAATTAAACATAATTTTTAAAATAAAAAATGAAATTTTTTGAGAAAAATTTTTAAAATAAGGAGAAGAGCAGTAAAAAAAAATTTAGAAGAAAAATAAAATATTTCTAAATTTGTTTTTACTACTTTGTAATAATTTGTATTCTTATAAAATATTTGTTGACGTAAATAATGAAATTTGAAAACAAATTTTTGAAAAAACGAATAAAAATATTTTTTTTTGATAGCGAAAAAAAATTCTAGTTTTTTTTCTACTTTCTTAATTTTTTCAATTTTTTTTTCTTTATTATTTTTACATAAATTTTTTTTTTCAATTTTCGTTTATATTTAATTTATTTTTCATTTGTCAATATTTTCCTCAAGTTATTAATTTTTCGAAAAATTATACTTCTTTGTTAAAAAAATTAAGAGAAAATCTATTTTCATATTCAAATAACACAGAATAGTCAATATTTAACAATAAACAATTAATATAGCAAAAGAAGAAAAAAAAATAAGAAAAGAAAAAAAAAATAAAATAAAAGCATTTAAAAAATTGTTATTTATATTTTTCAATTTAATTACATATTCATTTTCTTCAGTAAATATAGACACAGCACGTTTGGCAAGATCCACAGCATCATGAATAAGTTTAAGACTCTCGTAACGCGATATATTCATATATTTGACAAAGCCAGTGATTGTTGCCTGATAAGTGTTTGTTTGAATAATATCAGAACCGGCACGCAAAAAATCTAAATGCGTTGATAAAACGGATGTTGGATCGGTAGCGAGAAATTTTGCCGTCCATAATGGATCACCATCAATTTTATCACCGACATGAGTTGATAATTGCGTTGAAAAACCGCCGTCGAGTAGTTTTACACTTGACATCTTTAAGAGGACTGATGATTGAAAATCGAGGAAAAGAAGACGAAGAAGAAAAAGAAGAAGAACGATTTTCACGAGGCACACTCACAAAAGTGTAGTCATTGTGATGATAACATATATGTAATATGTATTCATATTTCTTTTCCACCTTCATCTGACCTTTAACAATGATCATAATTATTATTTCAAAGTTCAATTCTCATATATACATATGATTGATAAATAATATATGAATATAGAGAGAGAGAGAGAGAAAGAGAGCGTGCGTCATGTTTGGAAAATTACGACCCGTCTGCAATTCACTGATGACGATGATGAAATCTCGAATTGTATATTTAAAAAAAAATTACAATGATAACAAAAACACACAAAACGTTAAAGAACGTTCAACCACGTTATTTTCGTCAATTTTTATTTTTTTTAAGTACTTACAATTTTTTTAGTGACACCGAATTTGGAATTTCAAATTATCGAATTTATATTTAGTCAGAATTTTATAAAATAGAAAAATTTATATAATTTGGATCAAAATAATTACAAGAATCATTTTTTTGACGTCGAATTCCAAATTATCGAATTTATATTTAGCCGAGTATTTAGCAGAATTTTATAAAATAGAAAAATTTATATTTGGATCAAAATAATAAGAAGAATAATTTTTTGACGTCGAATTCCAAATTATCGAATTTATATTTAGCCGAGTGTTTAGCAGAATTTTATAAAATAGAAAAATTTATATTTGGATCAAAATAATTACAAGAATAATTTTTTGACGTCGAATTCCAAATTATCGAATTTAAATTTAGCCTCAGAATTTTATAAAATAGAAAAATTTATATTTGGATCAAAATAATTACAAGAATAATTTTTTGACGTCGAATTCCAAATTATCGAATTTAAATTTAGCCTCAGAATTTTATAAAATAGAAAAATTTATATTTGGATCAAAATAATTACAAGAATAATTTTTTGACGTCGAATTCCAAATTATCGAATTTAAATTTAGCCTCAGAATTTTATAAAATAGAAAAATTTATATTTGGATCAAAATAATAAGAAGAATAATTTTTTGACGTCGAATTCCAAATTATCGAATTTATATTTAGCCGAGTGTTTAGCAGAATTTTATAAAATAGAAAAATTTATATTTGGATCAAAATAATTACAAGAATAATTTTTTGACGTCGAATTCCAAATTATCGAATTTAAATTTAGCCTCAGAATTTTATAAAATAGAAAAATTTATATTTGGATCAAAATAATTACAAGAATCATTTTTTTTTGACGTCGAATTCCAAATTATCGAATTTCTATTTCGTTTATACCTTTTATAATCGACCAAAATAATTACTGAAATAATTTTTTGAATTCAAATTATAAATTCCTGATTTTCTATATAATAGCGGAAGAATTTTATAAAATTGGCAAAATTTATATTGGACCAAATTTTCAAAACTAGAAATTTTTCAGACGCATGATTATGTATTAAAAATCATTACACTTAAGAATTTTCATTTTTTGAAATTTCATTTTTTATAATTATTTTTGAACCGAATTTTTATTTTTTTTTGAATTCTAATTTTGCAGAATTTTCATTAAACCGATTTTCTATATTACAGAATTTTTATATAACCAAAAATTCAAAGAGAATTTTTATTTGTTCGAATTTTTATTTGTCAGAATTTTCAGTTGCTCGAATTTTCATTTAACATAATAGGCATTTGAAAGAATTTTTATTCTGCAGAATTTCATTGCATAGAATTTTCATTTTTTTATCTTTCAGATGAATTTTCATTTATTCGAATTATTATTTGATAAAATTTCCATAAAACCGATTTTTCTGCAAAATTTTTACTAAACCGGAAAATCATTTAACAGAATTTCTAATTGATATTAATTTTCATTTGTCCGAAATTGCAAATGACCGAACAAACAATCGATTTTGGCGCAATATTTAAAATCAACCAATCACAATTTTATGGATAATTTTTGATTGGTTAATAATTTAAAAATCGCGCCAAAATCGATTGTTGCTACGGTCATTTGCAATTTCGGACAAATAAAAATTCTATCAGTTAGAAATTCTGTTAAATGATTTTTCGGTTAAGTTAAAAATTCTTTAGTATGAAAAATCGGTTATATGGAAAATTTTATCAATCAATAATAATTCGAACAAATGAAAATTCACCTGAAAAAAATAAAATGAAAATTCTGTGCAATTAAATTCTATCCAATAAAAATTCGAACAAATCAAAAAATTCTGTGAAATGATTTTTCGGTTATATAAAAATTCTGTAATATAGAAAATCGTTTTGATGAAAATTCTCCAAAAATACTAATACGAATAAATAAAAATTCAGTTCAAAAATAATTATAAATGAAATTCCATAAAATGAAAATTCTAATTGATTTTTAGAACATAATCATACGTCACGAATTTTTATTAACAGAATTTTCAATTTAACCAATCAGATTTCTCCATTAATTTTGAGAAAATTTTGGAAAAATTTTTTATTCCCCTAAATTCGAATTTAGAAAAATTTAATAATAATAATAATTATTAATTTAAACATTTTTTTTTTTTTATTCAATTATTAAAAATAGAGAGAATTTTTCACAAATGAAAATTTCACATACTTTTAAACATTAATTTCCCTCTCGTCCTTCCAGGCTTGAATTTCATCAGCAATTTTCTTGAGATTCGTAACATTTGTACGACAACATCCACCAATGTATCGTACACCAAGATCAATCCATTCTTTCACAAAATATTCCGATGGCAATGAGTCTTGGACCATTTTCCATTTTTTCTCATTGGGAAAATATTTTTCACCACTATTTGCATAAACAATCAATGGAATAAAATCCCTCGCTTCACTATTAATGCCCTTAAATAGTGAAGTGACAATTTTTGGTAAAAGACAATTGACACCAATTGCCAAAATTTGATTAGGTTGAGATCTATTGTAACATTGAATTGCCGTTTCTTGAAAATTAGAACCATCGGCAATATTATTGCCATCCTCACGACATGAAAATGAAAGCCACGCTTTTATTGTGGGAAATTCGCTTTTTAGTAAATTAACGAGTGCATCGCCTTCCTCGCGACAGGGAATTGTTTCCAATGCAAGTAGATCAACGCCAGCGTCAATAAGGGCTTTTATTCGAATTCGATGAAAATCAAGGAGTATAGTTGGTGAAATCGATTTTCCATATAGTCCAGTGTACTCGGAGCCATCGTGTTGTGCTGCTCCATATGGTCCACATGCACCGGCAATTAGTGGATTTTTATTCGGTACATCAGTGTCTAAAAGAAAGTGTAGAAAAAATATTATTTTAACATTTTTTTCAAAAAAACTGGGTTTGTCTTTTTGAATTTTGAAAATCCAACTTTAGATTCGTAATCAGCGACCTGAAAAACCCCCGAGTAACAAGTTTCAAGCGAATTCGAGCAATTTTACTATTTTTCTTCCACCATTTTGGATCCGCCATTTTGAATTTTGAAAAACCGATACCGAATTTGTAATCAGCGACCCCGAAAACCCCCGAGTGACAAATTTTACGTAAATTTAACGAATTTAAAAAAAATTATCCGCCATATTGGATCCGCCATTTTGAATTTTGAAAAACCGATATCGTAATCGTAATCAGCGACCCCGAAAACCCACAAGTAACAAGTTTCAATTAAATCCGTTGAATTTTTTCAAAAATTATCCGCCATATTGGATCCGCCATTTTGAATTTTAAAAAACCGATACCGTAATCGTAATCAGCGACCCCGAAAACCCCCGAGTAACAAGGTTCAATTAAATCCGTTAGATTTTTTCAAATATTTCCGCCATATTAGATTCGCCATTTTGAATTTTGAAAATCCAACTTCAGATTCGTAATCAGCGACCCCGAAAACCCCCGAGTTACAAGTTTCAATTAAATCCGTTGAATTTTTTCAAAAATTTTCGCCATATTAGGTCCGCCATTTTGAATTTTGAAAAACTAGTATCATATTCGTAATCAGCGAGCACGAAAACCCCCGAGTAACAAGTTTCAAGCGAATACGAGCAATTTCAAATTTTTTTCTTCAGCCATATTGAAACCGCCATTTTGAATTTTTAAAAACCGATACCGATTTCATAATTAGCGACCCCGAAAACTCCCAAGTAACAAGTTTTAATTAAAAATCTGTCAAATTTTTAAAAAATTCCCGCCATATTGGATCCGACATTTTGAATTTTGAAAAACTAACATCGATTTCGTAATCAGCGATCCCGAAAACCCCCTGTGTAACAAGGTTCAATTAAATCCGTTGGATTTATTCAAATATTTCCGCCATATTAGATCCGCCATTTTGAATTTTGAAAATCCAACTTTAGATTCGTAATCAGCAACCCCGAAACCCCCCGAAGTAACAAGTTTCAAGCGAATTCGAGCAATTTTACTTTTTTCTTCCAACATTTTGGATCCGCCATTTTGAATTTTGAAAAACTAACATCGGATTCGTAAACAGTGACCCCAAAAACCCCCGAACAATCATTTTCAAGTGAATCAAAACAATTTTTAATTTTTTTTTCCTCCATATTGGATCCGCCATTTTGAATTTTGAAAATCTGAGATCAAATTCGTAATTAGCGAACCCAAAAATCCCCCGAGTGACAAATTTTACGTAAATTTGACAAATTTAAAAAAAAATTATCCGCCATATTGGATCCGCCATTTTGAATTTTAAAAAACCGATACCGTAATCGTAATCAGCGACCCCGAAATCCCCCAAGTAACAAGTTTCAATTAAATCCGTTGAATTTTTTCAAAAATGTCCGCCATATTAGGTCCGACATTTTGAATTTTGAGAAACTAGTATCATATTCGTAATCAGCGACCCCGAAAACCTCCGAGTAACAAGGTTCAATTAAATCCGTTGGATTTTTTCAAATATTTCCGCCATATTAGATTCGCCATTTTGAATTTTGAAAATCCAACTTTAGATTCGTAATCAGCGACCTAAAAAAAAACCCCCGATTAACAAGTTTCAAGCGAATCAAAACAATTTTTAATTTTTTCTTCCTCCATATTGGATCCGACATTTTGAATTTTGAAAATCTGAGATCAAATTCGTAATTAGCGACCCCAAAAATCCCCCAAGTGACAAATTTTACATAAATTTGAAAAATTTATCCGCCATTTTGAATTTTGAAAAACCGATACCGTAATCGTAATCAGCGACCCTGAAATCCCCAAAGTAACGAGTTTCAATTAAATCCGTTGAATTTTTTCAAAAATGTCCGCCATATTAGGTCCGCCATTTTGAATTTTGTGAAACTAGTATCAAATTCGTAATCAGTGACCCCAAAAACCCCCGAGTAACAAGTTTTTGGTAATTTTGTTTAATTTTTTAAAAAATATCCGCCATATTGGATCCGACATTTTGAATTTTCAAAATCCAACTTCGGATTCGTAATTACCAACTCCTCCCCCTTCGCAAGTAACTAGTTTCAAGCGAATTTGTTGAATTTAAAAAAATATGGCTTTACCCCCCCCCTAAAAAAAATTCGTTTCTACGCCCCTGTTTATTTTTTTTTTGAAAACAGTTTAAAAATTAAATTTGCAAATCTAAAAAATGCAAAATATCGAATTTTTCGAACAAATCCAAAAGTTATAGAATAAATAATAAATTTTTAAAATAAAATAATTTCATAATATTACGTATATATATAATTGCGATTTTAATTTTGTCCAACATAACCTAAAAATTGTTTTTCTTTTTCTTATTTTCAAAGAAACTTAATATAGTTGCGATTTTAATTTTGTCCAACATAACCTAAAAATTGTTTTTTTTTCTTTTTCTTATTTTCAAAGAAACTTACCTTTTGTTTCCTCTTTATAAATTTCAATTGCTCTTTGTGCAAGTTTTACAGCACTTTTAATTAAATTAATACTCTCTTCCTCGGTTTTATTGAGATATTTAATAAAACCGGTAACAGAAGCTTGATATGTATTTGTACAAATAATATTACATCCTGCACGTAAAAAATCAAGATGCATTGCCAAAATAGCATTAGGATTTGTAACTAAAAATCTCGCTGTCCATAATGGATCACCATCGATTTTTTCACCAACATGCGATGATAATTGATAAGCTAAACTACTGTCCAATAATGTTATTTTCGTCATTATTTTATAACGTAATATTCACTTTTTATTCACTTGTTGCTTTTTTAAATTTTCAAATTTCAACAATTTTATTAATTTTCGCCGCAAGTAGGAGAAAATTTACTTCTTTTTTTTTCAAATAAAAAACTTCTTTTTATAAATTATAATTCAAACAAATTCTTTTCACAAGCAAGAGAAAATTATTTTGTTTTCTTTTATATCTTAAAAAGAAGATAATTTATTCGTGCAAAAATTCAACTTAAGCAATAATAAATTTAAAAAAAAAACACACGATTTCAATTTGCGATAAACAAAGAATGAATGGAAATATCTATAAGTCGTAGTAGTGTGAACAGATGAGAATTCTCCTCCCCACTATGTTTCCATCCACAAACACACATATACTTATGTAGGTGAGTTTCTTTTCTGCTTTTATCTAATTTCAGATAAAATGAAATTAAAAATTATAGCTTTCAATTAAAGAAATATAAATATAACTAAATTTTATTTTATCTCATTAAAAATTTTTTTTTATTAATAATTAAGTTTTTATGTATTAAATTCTAATTTATTATTTAATCTGAAAATTATCTACAATAAATTATTATCAACATCGCCCAAACTTGGAAACAATTTTGTAAGGATATTGGAAAGTAATTTTCTATGAATTATTATTAAAAAAAAAAAAAAAAAACAAATTTAGCCATCGAAGAATTCAAATTTAAAAAAATGACGCGCCACTTCCAGTTCCATATTCTCAGCGCTGATTGGCTGAAATTATTACTCGCTGGAAGTGGCGCGCGTAAACCCTTTTAAATTCAAAATTATAAGTTTTTTTTTTTATAATTTATATAGAAATTTTATTTTCGTTATTAGTTTCTAGCAATTAGAAAGAAAAAAAAAGTGGAAAAGACTACCACTGAATTAATTATTAATATTCTATTTTTTAAATTAAATTCAACAGTCAATTATTAGAAGCATACTTAAATTTTTTTTTATTTATTTTTTTTCTCAATAAATATTAATCGATTAGTAATTTACAAAATTTTATAGTGTAGAATAAATTTTTTTTTTTTTTCAAGATTCGTAAAAATTGTCAATTCTCATTTCATATACAAATCACATGTGATATAGAATTTTATACATTTTTCACTGAACTGTGTAGATATGGAAAATGTTTTACAAAAAGTTTTTCTTATTTTTCAAAGAAAATATAAAATATTTAATTTGTCTCTATGCAAATAACTTTTAATGTTTGGTTTTTTTTGTTGCATCCTTTTCTTTTTCTCTTAATAAAAAATAATTTTTAAATTTATTTTAATTAAATTTTTTTAAATCAAAAAAAAAAAAAAAATTTTAAATATTGACTCATATTTACTACGATTCTTTCTTTTTAATTTTTCACATTAGTTTCCAAATCAAAAAAAGTTGTTTGAACAGAAACAAAATTACAAATCCAGAATTAGACGTAAAATTCGATTTTCATTTCATAATTTTTTCGCCTTGAAAAAATAGTTATATACTTTTCAGAATAATATTAATAATAATATTAATAATAATTATAGTTAAAATAGAGATTCCTATTCTAATCAAGTGTATAATAATAATAAATTTAATTAAATTATACTAATTAATTAATTATACAAAAAGTAAATTATAATTCGATTTTTAAAATATTGCCAAATTATTTCAATTAATAATAATAATAATAATTAAATTCACTATATTTCATTGAAAATAAAAACATATTAAAATGTTAATTCATTTCATTAAATAAAGCATAAAAGAGAAGAATAAAATTAATCTCTTTAAAGCCATCGACACTTAATCACTTTTTAAAAAATAGACGAATGACAAACAAATCAATATTGTTCCGACAATACAGAATGACTTCAATTTTTTTTTCTTTATATTTACAAATTTACGCTACGACACATTTCCATATTAAAAAAAAAACAAACAAACAAAAAAGTAAAATACAAAAAAAATAGTAAAAAACAGAACAAAAAAAAATTAAACAAACACAGAAAAAAGAATATTTAAAAAAAATTGTAAAAAAGGGGCAAACATAAAAAAAAATATACAACAAACTTTGAAATCTAGAAAAAAAAATGGAAAAAATAGAAAAAATATAGAAAACAATTTAGAAAAGTTAAAAGAGAAAATATGGAAAACAATTTAGAATAGAAAAAATGACAAAAAGTTTTTAATAAAAAAAATTAAATAGAAAAATAATTTTCAAAACAAAATACTATTTAGAAGAAAAAAAGTAAATTTTTAGAAAATTTCACTGTTATTAGTTTTCTTATTCAAATTTTTTTTTTTCTTGTGTTATCGCGCGCATTTCATTATTATTTGTAAAGCGTGACATTTCTATCTCACTAAAAATTTATCTCTATTTTTTTTCTCTTTCTTTTCCGTTTATCATTTTAAATGTCGTTGTGTCTTATAAAATTTGTTTGTTTTTTTTTCTTCCTTCACATAATTCATTTTTTCTTTTCTTTTCTAGAAAAAAATTGATTTTCCTCCTTTTTTTTGTTTGTTTTTGTTTTTGTTTTAGTACCTTAATTATCACATGTTATATAATATTTGTAATAAAAAATCTGTGCAGGAATTGTGTGTATATAAAATCACAAATCTCTTTAAAGCCGAGGCAATCTTGGCATAAAAAAGAAAAAAGAATTTTTTTTTTCATGAAAAATTTGATTAAATTAAAAAGGGAATAGAAATGTTGTACGAGAACAGCATCGTATATATATATACTAATTTTGTAAAAAAAAAAAAAATACAAAACACTCTAGTAAAAGTGTTTGTTTTTTTTTTACTTCATTTTAGGGGGAAATTTTTTTTACGAGGGAAAAAATTGTCAGCGCAGCTGTAATTTTTTTTTTCGTTTTTCTTTTCTTCACATTTTGTGAATTTTATTCAACGAATACTTCCTAAGGGAAACCATTCAATGGTTTCATTTGTTAAATCAAGTCGTGATAATGGTAGACGAATTCCTCCAAGGAATTCATTTTCCTGAAGGGTATCGTGATTCCATATTGTTGCTTCCAATGTTCTTTCTTTTATCGCGTCCAATGACATTCTATACTCCAACTAAAGAATTTAATTGCAAGATAAATTAGAATTATTCAATATAAAAATTATAAATGTATAAATTATCAAATTGAAACACAAAAATCTACCTTACCGACTAATGGTAAATCAGATTTTTTTTTGGAAAAAATGACCATATAAAAATTACCGACACAGAAATTTACCCTACCAACTAATGGTAAAACAGGTATTTGGAAAAATTACCGTAAAAAATTACATGCAAAGAAATCTACCTTACCGACTGATGGTAAAACAGTTTTTTTAAAAAATGAAAATAGAAAAGTTACCTGTGCAGAAATCTACCTTACCGACTGATATTAAAGCAGATTTTTTGAAAAATAAAATATAAAAACCCTAACATAGGAATCTGCCTTACCGACTGATGGTAAAACAGTTTTTTTTGATGAATGAAAATATAAAAATTTCCTGTACAGAAATCTACCTTACCGACTGATGGTAAAGCAGATTTTTGAGAAATGGAAATATAAAAATTACCAACATAGGAATCTACCTTACTCACTGATGGTAAAGCAGATTTCTTGAAAAATGGGAATATAAAAATTTTTGAACATAGGAATCTGCCTTACCAACTGATGGTAAAACAGTTTTTTGAAAAATGAAAATATAAAAAATTACCCGCGCAGAAATCTACCTTACCGACTGATGGTAAAGCAGATTTTTGAGAAATGGAAATATAAAAATTACCAACATAGAAATCTACCTTATCGACTAATGGTAAAGCAGTTTTTTTGAAAAATGAAAATATAAAAAATTACCAACATAGGAATCTACCTTACCGACTGATGGTAAAACAGTTTTGAAATTTTTGGAAAATTCTTGCAACATTTCTTTACCATCAGTCGGTAAGGTTAATTCCTATGTCGGTAATTGTTTATATTTTTATTTTTCAAAAAACCTGTTTTACCGTCAGTCGGTAAGGCAGATTCCTATATCGGTCGATTTTTATATTTTCATTTTTCAAAAAACCTGTTTTACCGTCAGTCGGTAAGGCAGATTTCTATATCGGTCGTTTTTCATATTTTCATTTTTCAAAAAACCTGTTTTACCCTTAGTCGGTAAAGCAGATTCCTATGTCCGCAAGTTTTTATATTTTCATTTTAAAAAACTGTTTTACCATCAGTTGATAAGGCAAATTCCTATGTTGTTATTTTTTAGTTTTTTCAATTAAACTGTTTTACCACCAGTCGGTAATGTAGATTTATGTGTCGGTAATTTTTATTTTTTGCAAAAACTGTTTTACCATTGGCCGGTAAGGTAGTTTTTCATGTTGGTAATTTTTTAAACTGCCTTTTTTCAAAAAAAAAACTTGTTTTACCCTCAGTCGGTAAAGTAGATTCCTAGGTGAGTAATTTTTTTTATATTCTTTTTATAAATTTTCATCACTTTATACTAAAAAAAAAACGTTTTTTGTTTATAATTTTTTTAAAAAAAGTCGAAAAAATTGCATTTTTATAAAATAAGTCGGAAAAAGTCATAGAATCCGAGGTCTGCAGTTTTTAAATTAAACCAAATAAATAAATAAAAAAAAATGAAGATGCAAAATAGAATTTTATAAATATCTAGTTTTTGAGACAAACGACTCGAGTGTTTAAGTTTCAGCGTGAAATGTAAGTAAAATTTTCTTTTTTTTTTAATGAAAATATGAATTTTTTTTTTTAAATTACGCTTATTTTGCAAATAATAAAAATTTGTGAAATATGTGTTTTAAAAAAGACTTTAAAAAATAACTTACCATTTCCATAAATGATGGATGACAATTTTTCTTGACAACTTTTGTTTTTCTTTTGGTGGCTTTTGTTGGATCGGGTTTTAAATAAACTTTAACGTAAGTATTTGGTTCTTGTGCATTGGCAACTTTTGGCAAACCTCTCGCATGATGAACCATAACACAAAATGTCCCCCTCGTATAGTGAAGAGACAATTTTAGTTGTCCGTTTAATACATTTTCAGGAATTTTCTTCTCCGCCCACCAATTGCCAACTGAAGGAGAAGAAAAAGAAATTGCAAAATTTTATTTTAATTTGAAAATATCTACTATTTAGTATAATAATAATAATAATAATTAATAGTAAATTAATTATTATTAATTCTCCTTTTATTTTCGTATTTCTTAAAATTTGATTATAATTTAATTTTTTTTAATTCTTAAACTACTAAATGCAAGCTAATTTGTTTTTTGTCAAGTTTAAAAATATATAAAACTTACGCCAAAAGAGAACCTTGAAAAAAATTATTTTGGACCTTAAATTTTAAATTTGAATTTGTCTTTGAATTTTTTTTTTTTTTTTTTTTTTAATTTACTGGAATAATAATAAATAAAATAAATAAAAGTAAATAATAATACCTTTAACTTTTCGAAGATGAATGTCATCATTTTGTTGATCGCGCAAAAGTGGATGGAAAAATGTGTAGACTAAATCGCTTTGTGAAATTTCCGGTGCCATTTTAAAAAGACTTAGAAGAAATTTTTCAATGTCAGCTCGACGTTTATCGGCAACTTGTTTTATATTCGATCTTCCAACGCTCATTCCGCTTGATAAACTGAAAATAATTGCAAAAATAACAAAAAAAAAATTAATTTTTTCAAAAATTTATCATTTTTCATCATAAATGTAGAAAATTATTTTTTTCTCTCAATGCATAATAAAATTTTGATAAATTATTTTCCAAAAATTAAAATTGTCAATTTTAATAAAAAACAAAAATTCCATTTGCGTGTCAAAAAAAATAATAATAATAATAATAAAATAAAAAGATAGCAAAAAGAAAATAATTTTTTTTTTAATGCAGATAAAATCAAATTTAGCGGAAAGATTAGATTACATTTAGAGAAAAGAAATCCAAAGTTATTAAAAGAATCAGTTTTTGTCAGATAACAGATAAGATAGTGACTACATTGAATTTTGTGTGCAAAAGCAAAAAAAAGAAAAAAGAAAAGAAAGAAAGTGAATGTGCATTCAAATATGAAAAATCTTCGTTAAAACATTGTTTTCATAGATTAAAAAAAAAATAAATCACTAAACTATCATTAAAAAAAAGTGACAATCTCAAAAAATAATAGTTTAAAAAGAAAAAAAAATAAGAGAATTATTTCCAATAATGGGATCATCAAGTTCACAATTGGAAATGACAAAAACAAAAAAAGACACAAAACAAATGTGGAATCCAGAATTTTATCGTCCTTACAAGGATTTGGAAAGGACGAAAATCTTCTCATCACAAAAGTAAGATCTTTATATAATTATTTTCATTTTTTACTAATTATTATTATTGTTATTATTATTATATTTTTTTTTTATTTTTACTATTATTTTATAATTATTTTTCTAAATTCGTAAATAATAGTAATAATAATAAAAATTATGATTTTTTTCTGTAGAAGCTTGAATATTAAATTAAATATTTTTTTTCAAATCACAGAAATACAAAAGAAGACGTTAAATCGGAAGAAAATCGAACGAGAGTTTAAAATTGGATTTCAACTTCTATTTTTAAGAAAAAATTTTCATAGACGTAACGAATTTTTAATTACTATCGTTTTTAACGTACAGAAATATTTAATTTTTTTCTAATTTATAGAAAAAATAATAGTTTTTAATTTTTTTTTTAATATAAAAAAAAAATTTAATTTTTGTTCTCTCTCTTTTTAATTTATTTTTTAAATATATTACCTGACAACTTTGGCAAGTGGAAAATGAATGCAAAGTTTTTGATAAAACTCGCAAAATTCTTTATACGTCCGAAATAGATAGGTTGGATCTGCTTGACCTTTTCTTTGTATCCTAAGAATGTACATATAATATTTTTCTGGATCGTATCGTTTCTGATAGCCATGAACTTGTACACTTGTCAATTGTCCCTCTTGTTGCATTCTGAGAGACAAAACAAATATGTAAAAAAAATATAATATATAATAGTTGACTAAAAATAAATAGGAAAAAAAATTTTTTTTTTTACTGATAATTTAATCATCAGCATTATTCAAGAAATTTTAAATTACAAATCTTAATAACAATGGATTTTATTTCGAAATTATATTTTTTTTCAAACCGGAAAACGAAAATAAAAATTAATTTTTAAAATAATTAATAGAAATTATAAATTAAAAAATGTGATTTAAAATTAATTGAAATTAATTTTTAATTTCAATGGAATTGAAAAATTACTTTTTATAATAATAAATTGAAATCAACTTACGTGTATGTACGTGGAATAAATGACAATAGTTCACCGTCATTTTGCTCGCCGGAGAAACGTAATTGTGCCAAATTGTGTAAAAAGAAATTAAATTGCGTGAACCAACTTTTCAATGAACTTTCAATCATTCGCGCAAATGTTGCTGCTGCCTCGGGATTCGTTTGTCCAGGAAGTAATGCTTTTTGCACATAACTCACAGCGTCCATTGTAACACCAGGAATACCCGACGATGTCATCTGTAAATTAATATATTCATTTCTCATCAAATTCACATATTCCTTTATTTCAAAACGATCACAAATTTCATTTTTTGTCACACAATTATTATTTTTCACTTTTATTTTATATTTTTGAAATTTTAACAATTTAGTCATTATTTCTTCTTTTTTTTTGTCTCTCAGATTTTTAGTCCAATTAATTAATTATTAATTTTTCTTTTAAAAAAATTTCGATTTCTTAAAAAACGAAAAAATTAAAATTAAAATCGATTAAATTAAAAAAATTAAATTTTTATAAATTAAAAATAGAAATCGATAAGATATTTTAATTATTAAATCATGTTTTAATTAGCTTTGTAAAAATTTATCATCTTTTTCAAGTTATTTAACGGCAACGAGTAATGAGACTATTTTATAGAGAATAATATAATACATGGGGTTGATATGAAAAATATTATTTCGTTGGGGACGATAATGTCAACCGCAGAGTGATAATATTTCTGATAAATTCTTCCGCCTCCGTTTATAGATTTTCTTTTGTCAATTTTTGCATTTTAAAAATGTTGAATGTTTTTATTACGATTTAGTTTTTCAATAAAAAAAAACCACCTTTTTCTTTTTAAATTAAAAATTAAATTAATAACTAAATAAATTGCTAATATTTTATTACCCTATAGTAATTTTCATTTTTTTTTTTTTCAATTATTTTATAAATAAAAATAATTACTCACCAATCCAAATAAATGGAGAATCAAATTTCCATGTTTTCGAACAACATTAAAAGCCTGACAGCACAAATCGACAAAATGATGAAATTTCGCCGACGGTTTATCACCACCGTTAATAACATAAGCCATATCGGAAGTTAAAACAAACGGTGTTCGATCGCTGAAAATTATTTATTTTCTTTTAACAATATTTTAGAAAAATATATTATTTATTATAAAACAAGCCTCGGGCATTTTATTTAAATAAATCGCAAAAAGTCATAAAAAATCGTATAATTCGAGGCCTGTAATAATCTTTTTAACTTCATACTAAATAAAAACTACTTAAGTGACCAAAAAGAAAAATGAAAAAAAAATTTCATTTAAATCTTACCGTTTAAAATTGCCAAACATTTGTGCATCGCCGAGAAATTTGCCAAAATCAATATGAAACAAATGTCCCGATGTTTTGAGCATAATATTATCATTGTGCCTATCGCAAATACCCAAAATATAAGTGGCAACACTGTAGCCAGCACATGATGCCGTAAAATTTTCAACAGCTCTCTCATATTCTAATTCAGAGGGATTATGTTTTGCGAGCCATTCGGCAATTGGTCGATCTTTAAATGAGCCAGTAAGACCAAATTCAACTTGTATTTTTCTCAATGTCTCTGCATTTGATACCATTTCAATCATTCCACGTTTATTTCCCGTTGGTACACATGCAAATGTCACCATTTTCAAATCAAGACCCTCTTTTAACCACAATTTGTCCATTATTCGTACCATTTGCAATGTTAACATATCTTGTTGTAAATCATCACCAACCTGAATAATAATTAATTAATATAGAAATTTCTTCGAAATTAAAAATTGAAATTTGTTTTTTTTTTTTTCACTATAAAAGAAAATATTTGTTTTTCTTACCTTAAAAATTGCAGGACTTATAACTTCATCGCATGAGATAAAATTGATTTTCAATGGAAGTGTAAATGATGGAAAATAGGAACACGTTTGTATATTTATTCCAAAAACTTGTCGACTTGGCGATAATGGTAAACAAGTTCCATCGTCATCAGCAAGTTGGCCATTAATATTTTGTAATCCTAATTTTAATGTATCCATTCTTAATGATTCTTTGGTATTTTTTATATTTTCCGCCACTTCATGGAGATTCTGTAAAAAATTTTAAATTAAAAATTTAATTAATTAAATATTATTTATTATTATTATTATATTTATTTTAATTTATTTAATTTTTATTTAAAAAATTTTTAATTTTGGAACAAACAAACAAATAAATAAATAAAAATAATAATAACTATGACAAATAATTGATAAAAAAAACTTTTTTTTGCTACTTACTTTCACTAGACATTGTTGAGTAAGAAAACTATTTCTCAGTGCTTCGCCAATCACAGCTAAAAGTGCTCGTAACATAAGTTGCAATCGTCTATAATAACGAGCGAGACAAAGACTTTTGTCATCGTCCAAAGATGTTTCCGCAGAATTCTAAAATAAAAAAAAAAAAAACTTGTAAACGTTATTTTTGTAATTTTAATTAAAAAGAATAATTTTCTGAAAATTACTAACTGATTACTAAAATTAGTAAAAAAAAAAAAAAAAATAGTAAAAATAGTAAAATTATTAAAATAATAAGAGAAAATATTTTTTTTTTTGAAATTTATCGAATACAAACCTGAGGACTTAATCCTGGAAGAGCTTGTGTAAGTAGCCAATAAATATGATGAGCCACTCGAGGAGAGAGTAAAGCTCTTTCGAGTAAAAATTTAGCAAGATGAGATGCTTCATAAGTTTCATGTTTTAATGCTTGTAAAAGTTGTGGTAAATAATCGACAAGTTCATCGTTACTTAATTCCCTTATCCAACTAATGGCCATCTCTCGAACTTTCATATCCGGAAAACTATGACAAAATAATCAAACATTTGTCCGTTTTTCAAATTTATCCCTATTTTTTTTATTTTTTTTTTTTTTGTACTAAATTATTTCAATTTTTGCACAAAAATTTACAATATTTCAATATTATTCAACTTTTTATTATTTTTTTTTTACTTTTGTCAAATAAAAAAATTGAATTTTCATTTTTGTTAATTATTATCCAATATTATTAGGGTAAGTCCACGTCAGAAATATCAGAATCTTCGATTTTAATGATACTTGGTAAAATTATAGCTTTATATAAGAGCAATGTGTAAGTAAAAGGAATTTTTAAAATATCTAAAATTGTAAGAGTTATATCACTTTTAATTTTGATACTGCATTTTTTTCTTTCCTTTATATCTCGGTCAATTTTCAACCGATTTTGATGAATCAAAAACGATTTTTTTCAGAAAATTACGTATTTTCAGAAAATTTTAAAATAAAAATAAAATTTTGTTATTTAAATAGAAAAAAGTAAAAAACAAAATTTCTTTTAGATTTTTTTTCAATTTCGACCTCTTTTTTTTAATTTTTAATTTTTTAATAATATTCCTTTTTATTTTATCTTTAATTTAAAAAAAAATTCATCCTGGAGACTTTTTTAGATCTCGTGATATCGTCCTTTAAGTATTATAAGTCTTCATCAATTTGAAAACCGCAGGACTTGCTTCTATTATTACTTTCATTTGTTTGTTGAAATTCTTTATGGTTATGAATAACTATTTGTTTTAGAATCCTCTAAAAGAAAGCGCTAAAAACTTCAGCTACAATTTCAGGTTGCATTGTTAAGGTTTCATTACAATTTTTATTTTAAATTATAAATATTACAAAAAATAAAAACTTTGCTTCAAATCTATTAATAAAATATTGATTTGCTTGAATTTTCACTTGTTTTAGTCAAGTAATTTAAAAATAAAAACATTATTACGCGAAAGTTTCTAGTTTGTAACAATAATATTATAAAACAAATGAAAGTAGAAACACAAATCTGGATCCTAGTTTTCTTGAGATGTGGATATTTAAAGAGCGATATCACGAGATCTAAAAAAGTCTCCAGGATGAATTTTTTTTTAAATTAATGATAAAATAAAAAGGAATATTATTAAAAAATTAAAAATTAAAAAAAAGAGGTCGAAATTGAAAAAAAATCTAAAAGAAATTTTGTTTTTTACTTTTTTCTATTTAAATAACAAAATTTTATTTTTATTTTAAAATTTTCTGAAAATACGTAATTTTCTGAAAAAAATCGTTTTTGATTCATCAAAATCGGTTGAAAATTGACCGAGATATAAAGGAAAGAAAAAAATGCACTATCAAAATTAAAAGTGATATAACTCCTACAATTTTAGATATTTTAAAAATTCCTTTTACTTACACATTGCTCTTATATAAAGCTATAATTTTACCAAGTATCATTAAAATCGAAGAACCACTTGCAGATTCTGATATTTCTGACATGAACTTACCCATTATTATTATTCCCTTTTTTTATTTATAATCAATATCATTACTATTTTTTAATATTATTACTAAAATTATTAATTGACAATTTAAAAAAATCAAATAAAATTACAAAAAATTTAATATCTTTCAAAATTTAATTATTTTTTTAAAATTTTCCATCTATTATTATTATTATTATTTTTATTATTATTTTTTGAAATCTATTTTTATATGATTTCTTTCTGCTTTAACTGTAACTAAAATTTAAAAAAAAAAAAAGATAAAATGCGTAATTTATTTTTACAGAATCGGTTTTTAAAGAATTTTTTCTAAATAATTGATTCTATTTTTAAATAAGATTTTTTTCTCACCATGGAAGAAGTAATTGAAGAGCCTGCACTGGAGGCAATGGTGTCCAGACTCGTAACGATGCATGTAAATCTGGTAAACAAGCCCAATCCCAACTGTGTGCAGCGAGCAATATTTTTGGTAGTGCTTCTGGTCGATCGTGCAAATAATGACGTTTTTCCCAAAGAATTTCCCTTTCGTCGACGGGTGGTCTAAAATTTTTTTATTTATTTTATTGAAATAATTCCAACAAAGACTTTTTTTTTAATTAAATAAAATTGCATAAAGAATCCGACAAACAAAAATAAACAAAATAATTACTTTTCTATCTATATTAAATAGAATTTCTTTCTTTCTATATTAATTATTTAATTTGCAAAATTAGTTAATTTTTTTTCCATCTAATTAAATAAAAATATATTTAATATAAATCAATAAAAAAAAAAATCCAATTATTGAATAAAAAAGATCTAAAAATAAAAAAAAAATACAATAATAAATAAATATTTAATAAAAATAGAACTTTTTTTAAAAATAATTTTCTTTTTAATATTTAAAAATTTTTGTTAATAAAATATTTAAATAATGAAAAAACACAATTTTTTTTTAATTCTAATTAAAAAATTTCGCTTTTCTTTCTAATAGCAAAAAAAAAAGTAAAAAAATATTTAGATAATGAAAAAATACAATTTTTTTTTAATTCTATTTAAAAAATTTCGCTTTTCTTTCTAATAGCAAAAAAAAAAAAAAAAAAAAAGTAAAAAATTTACCTGGAAAATGTGTCTTGCTGTGTAATATCAAGTAACAATTCCTGTGTATTTTGATCCAAGGAATTAAAATCTAATGATTCAATATCGTGATCACGAAGTTCAGATGGAAATAAAACTTTTCCACCATAATCGGGAAGTTCTAAACCAATTATTGGATGAGTATCGCCATGAGGATGAATTCCCGGTGCTGGAGCTGGTCCCAATCGTTTGTCAGCCGATGCCGGCCACAGGGAAATGAAAAAGCTTCCTTGACTCATTGCACTGCAGAATTGAAAAGAAAAAGAAACAAAAAACCTTTTTTTTAATCTCTCCTCTTATTTTTTTTCATTTAAATTCATTTAGAATACAAAATTTAATTCGTTTTTTTGTTAAACTTGATAGAATTCTTTATTTATTTAATTACTTATATAAATAGCTTCTTTTTTTAAATTTATCTATTAGTTTTTATTTTATTAATTTTTTAAAAATTATTTTTATTAATATTACATTTTTCACAAAAATTACAAATTAACTAGCAAAATTAAACGCGCGCGAAACTAGGGATTTAATTGTTTATTATAAAGAAATTAAAATTAATATTATCAATAATATTTTTAATTTATTATAATATTATTACATTGTTAATAATAATTCCTTAATTTTTATCAAATAAAAAAAAATATTTCTTGATTTTTTTTTTTTTGATTATCTGTCGATAATTTTTCAGAAATTATTCAAGAAAATTTTCGATTTAAAATTTAAATTGATAATTTTTAATATAACATATATCGGTAAAGGTCTTGTAAAAATTTATCATTAAATAAAATTTTTTATTTTTTATTATATAATAATAAATAATAATTATTATTATTAATCTATTATATGAAATATATAAATTTTCAATTGCCTATAATAAAAAAAAAAATATTTTGCAAAAAAAAATTATAACCAAAAAATAATAAAAATATTTGTTATTAAATGAAATTTTTTATTATTATATAATAATAAATAATAATAATTATTATTAATAAATTTAAATTAATAAATAAATAATTTATAAATTATAAAAAATTAATATTTAATATATATATTATTCAATATTCCTAATTAATTAATATTATCAATAATATTTTTAATTTATTATAATATTATTACATTGTTAATAATAATTCCTTAATTTTTATCAAATAAAAAAAAATATTTCTTGATTTTTTTTTTTTTTGATTATCTGTCGATAATTTTTCAGAAATTATTCAAGAAAATTTTCGATTTAAAATTTAAATTGATAATTTTTAATATAACATATATCGGTAAAGGTCTTGTAAAAATTTATCATTAAATAAAATTTTTTATTTTTTATTATATAATAATAAATAATAATTATTATTATTAATCTATTATATGAAATATATAAATTTTCAATTGCCTATAATAAAAAAAAAAATATTTTGCAAAAAAAAATTATAACCAAAAAATAATAAAAATATTTGTTATTAAATGAAATTTTTTATTATTATATAATAATAAATAATAATAATTATTATTAATAAATTTAAATTAATAAATAAATAATTTATAAATTATAAAAAATTAATATTTAATATATATATTATTCAATATTCCTAATTAATTAATTAATGTAACATATATAAATATATATAAAATATAATAATTTAAATTTTATTTTAAATAAAAATTATTTAAAAAAATTTTATATTAAGTTAATATTTAAAAATAAAAATTATTAAAAAAAATTAATATTTAGTCAAAATTAAAAATTAATATGTATATATAATATAAATTTTTTTAATTATAATAACAAAAATAAATAAATATTTTGTGAAAATAAAAAAAAAATTTAATTTGTAATATATAATATAAATAATAAATATAATATAAATAAATAAATAATATAAAATTTTTTCTATTATTTTTAAAATTAATTAAATTATTGTGATTTAATTAAATAAATTTTTGAAATTTGATAAAATTATCAACTTATGCAGCTTACTCTATCAGCAATCGAATCAATTTTTCTCACAATTCTCACAATTTTTTTGCACGATTCTAATAATTTTATAATTTTTAATAATTAAAATACGACCGCACAAATGACAATGTCAAAACATTGAAAAATTTTAACCAACACAAAATAATGTCAAACATAAATAGATTAAAAATAAATTACATACCCATCGTAGTCGTAAAATTGAATTGCCCCCCAGCCAAGTTCTTCCTTTTGCATTGAACCTTCATTCGAGGAATTATTTTCATGTTCCGTTGGTTGTAATGTGCGACCATAAAGAACAATAACTAATCTTGCTTCCCTTGGAACTTGACAAACACTAATACCACGAAATTCCATCCTAAAAAAAATTTAATAATATTTTCAATAAGAATGAAAACGTAAAAAAAGAATATATAATTTTCAAATTCAAAATCAATGTAATTAATAAATAGTAATAAATAAATGCATTTAATAATTATAATAAATTATTTTTCTCCTCCTCCTATTCTAAATGAAAAACTTTTTTTTACAATTTTTTTTACAAAAAGAAAAAGAATTTTTTTTTTTTACTCACCACGAATTGAATAAAATTCTCGGATAGAAATTTGTGCTAACAGTCATTGGTTCAGAGAGTACAGGATTTCCCACTGGACGTGTACCGTGAAATATTTGAGCAGCAACAATATAATCGTCATGATTCCATGTTCCCGGTATTCGATGCATTGCTCCAACACGAACGAGAACTGTATCAAGCACTTCTGACGACACCAAAGTATCTAAATTCAAAATAGAAAAACGTAATCAAAATTTATTTATTTATCGAAAAAAAAAATCGAAGTAAATTTTCTCGAAAAATAACGACAAATAATTAATATTATTTAATAAATAGAAAAACAAATAAATAACAAAATATTGTAATTGTTTTTAGAAAATTATTTTCCAAAATTTTTTTTTGGAATATTAATAAAAAAATGAGAATTAATAAAATAAATTTTTTTTTTCTTCCAAAATATTGTTATATACATACTTGTGGGAAATTCTCCACGGCTTGTTAATTGAAAATCAACTCTAAATGCATGACAATAAGTTTCAACTAAATCTTGAATAGCGTCACGAATTTTATGACAATGCGATGAAATAAGTTCGGGAAATTTTGTACGCAATGTAACAACTGAATAATCACCGTCCTCGTGTAATATTTCTGGTTTTTTACATTCAATATTTGTTGTATGTACTTGTGGTAAAAATTGACAGCAAGCATTAACAAAATTATCAACTGCCTCGGTAATTTCATAGGTTTCAATATTTCCCATTAGTACGCATACTGCCTTAACTGTTTGAACAACGCTACGCGGTTGTAATTGTGGCAATAAACTTGAACCATGATTTGTCGTTGCTATTTGTACAGCGGCATTTTCAATTCTTTCTAATTCCTTTTCAACGGTTTCTAATAGAAAAGGAAAAAAATTTTATTTTTAATTATTTGTTTTTTAAATTTTATTATTTAATCAGTGTCTGTTGCTTAAAAAAAAGAATAATTTTTTTTTATTATAAATATAAGAAACTAATTAAATAATAATAATTTACGTCATTGCTGGTAAATTATAAACAAATATAGTTTATATTTTTATTTCCTAAATAATAAAATTTCTTTTCTTTTTTTTTTTAATTCAATAAATACCTAATAAAATAAGAAGAGTATCGTAAGAAATGGGTTGAAGTGGCTCATTTGGTAATAAATCCTCTAAAGTAACACATTGATCTCGATTGTCGTCCTGAAGCTGAAAAATGTATTTAAAATAAAAGAAAATGTTATAAATAAAAAAATATTTTTTAGTAAATTAAAATTAAATGAAATTTAAAAAAAAAATAAATAATAAACAAAAAAAATATATTATTTAAATAAAAAAAAATAAAATTAGTAGTTTTCTGTTGTTTTTTTTTTGAATTATTTTGTAAGTAAAATAAATACTTACAGTCCTGGCAATTGAACGTTTTATTTGATCACGAATCATTATTGCTAATTCAATATCCTTTTCTAATTTAATGCACTGATGTATATATTCATATTGAGCTAATGTTGTATTAGGTGCGAGATATTCCGCCAAACCCCAAACTCTTAAACAATAAATATTGTTCTCCATATTTACTGTATTGTCTTCATCCAAAGAACATGCTACAGTGAATATCACGTGTTCAACGCTACTATTAACTGAAAAATAAAATTTTACATACAAATTAAAATTAAACATTAAAATAACCCAAAAAAAAATTTTATTTTTAAATAAATTATTTATAACTAGCAAAATTAAACGCGCGCCAAATTGAGTATTTAATTGTTTATTATAAAGAAATAAAAGATTAATATTATCAATAATAATTTAATTTATTAGAATATTATTACATATTAAATGATAATAATGAAAATTATTTAGGCCTCGGATTATACGACTTTTTCCGACTTTTTTTAAAAATACGATTTTTATCGACTTATTTTAATAAAATACGACATTTTTTTTTACATTTGAAAAAAAATGTAAATAAAATACATTTTTTTTAGTATAAAATGTAGATCTTCTTCAGATCTTCTTCAATTCAATTATTATTTAACAAATTTTGAACTAAAATGATTCTTCCAGGCCTCGGATCGACTTAAAGGCACAAAAAAAGTCGTTTTAGTCGATTTATATTCCAAAAAAAAGTGGATTTGTTTTTTATTTTAACAAAAATATTTTACAAATTTTTAAATAACTTTTTTTTTAAATAATAATACTTTTGGAAGGGTTTAAAATGAAATTTTTAAAAATAATTGAATTTCAACAGATTTTGTTAATTTTCAGACAATAATTAAATTTTACAGAACTAAAAATAATTTATCAAATAATTTGAGATAACATTTTTTAAAGGTAATTGAATTTTCAAAGATTTACAATTGATATTTTTAAAATTAATTGAACTTCAAGGGATTTTTAATTAAAAATTTTTGATGATTTCACTAAAAAATTTATTAGAAACTGCAGACAAAAATACAATACTTTGAAAACCATTTTTAATTGAAAAATGGTTTCAGATAGTTGAATTTTCAAAGAATATTATAAAAATAAAAAAAAATTATTGAATTTCCTTAGAGTTATAATTGAAATAGTTAAATTTCAAAAAATTTTAGAAATAATTAAATTTTAGAAGCTTTTAAATTCAAATTTATGAAAATAATTGAATTATAATTGAAATTTTTGATAATAATTCAATTTTAGTTGATTTTTGATTGAAAATTTTAATAATAAATAATTTTGAGTTCAAATTTTTGAGAATAATTGAATTTTAGTTGATTTTTAATTGAAAATTTGGAAAATAATCGAATTTCAATTGAAATGTTGGATAATAATTTAATTTTAGTTGATTTTTTATTGAAAATTTTGATAATAATTAATTTTGAATTTAAATTTTGGGTAATAATTGAATTTTAGCTGATTTTTAATTGAAATTTTTGAAAATAATTTAATTTTATTTGATTTTGAATTGATTTATGATTTTGAATTAAAAATTTTTGGTAATTTTATTTGATATTTTTTTTAAAATTACAAATTATTGTTAAATTTTATAAAAATTTTAATTGAAAAATAATTTGAAATAATTGAATTTGTGTTGAATTTCATTAAGATTATTAAAAATAATTAAAATAAAGAAGATCTGAAGAAGATCTGCATTTTGTACTAAAAGAAAATATATTTTATTTAAATAACTTTTTTAAAAATGTAAAAAAAAGTCGAAATAGTCGCATTTTATTAAAATAAGTCAAAAAAAAAATTAGAAATAGTTGAAAAAGTCGTATAATCCGAGGCCAATTCTTCACTAAATTAATTATTTTTAATAATAATTGTAATGAAATACATCACAAATTCAATTATATCAAAATTATTTTTCAATTAAAATTTTTATGAAATTTAACAATTGTTTATAATTTAAAAAAAAATATCACAATAAAATTGAATTATTTTTTGAAAAATTTCAATTCAAAATAAACTAAAATTCAATTATTACCCGACATTTTAATTCAAAATCAATTAAAAATCCAATAATTATCCAAAATTTTCCATTTAAAATTTAATTATTTACCAAGTTTTCAATTTAAAATGAAATAAAATTCAATTATTTTCTAAAATTTCTATTCAAAATTAATTAACCAAATTTTCAATCAAAAATGAACTTAAATTAAATTATTATCCAAAATTTCAATTAAAATTCAATTATTTCCCAAAATTTTCAATTCAAAATGAACTGAAATTCAATTATTTTCCAAATTTAAAATCAAATAAAATTTCATTATTCTCAAAAATTTGAATACAAAATTAATTGAATTTTCAATAATTTGAATTTAAAAGCATCTAAAATTTAATTATTTCTAAAATTTTCCATTATAATTTTTTTTTTTGAAATTTAATAATTTCAATTATAACTATAAAGAAATTCAATTATTTTTAACTATTTTAATAATATTCTTTCAAATTTCAACTATCTGCAACCATTTTTCAATTAAAAATGATTTTCAAATTATTGTATTTTGTCCGCATTTTCTAATAAATTTTTTAGTGAAATCATCTAAAATTTTAATTAAAAAACACTTAAAGTTTCAATTAATTTCAAAAATCTCAATTTTAAATCTTTGAAAATTCAATTAAATTTAAAAAATGTTTTCCAAAAAAATTGTTTGATAAATTATTTTTAGTTCTGTAAAATTTAATAATTGTTTGAAAATTAACAATATATCTTTTGATATATTGTACCTTGAAAATTAATTTTTAAAAATAAATTTTTTTCAAATTACTATCTTGTACGAAATTTTCTGGCGCATCTTTTTTCTCATCATAAATTTTTTGTATTTGTATACAATTTTTGAATCAATATACAATTTTAAAAAAAATTTTCGTTGGTAAACGTTGTGTACTTCAGCTTCGTGAATTGAATTTTCGAATTTGTAATTTTTAAGAAACTTATTCCGAAATTTGGAAACACAATTATACAAATTAGGCAAAAATGAGAAAAAGAATTGTCAAAATTTGACACGTCATAAGATTACTATTCAAAAAAACACGTGAAATCAGAAAAGGCCAACTTCAAGTTAGGACAGAAGGACAGACCAAGCATTTTATTATTATATAATAATAATTTTTTAAATTAAAAATGAGAAAAACTAAAATTAATTAATTACAATTAAATTTTATAAATTAACAATTATTTTTAATTAAATAAATTATTTACTCTGAATACTAAATAAAATAATTTATTAATTGTTTGCAAAATAAAATAATTTCTAATGCGTTTTTAATTAAAAAATTTGAAGATTTCGTTTTTCCTTTAAATTTTCTTAATAAGAAAAAAAAATAATAAACTTACCATCACAGGTAAACGTTACGGACGGAATCGGATCTTTAGAGTCAACAGATATTTGCGAATGTACAACGAGTTTTATACTCGTTCCATCGGGATATAAATTTTCCATTATTGGACTAATAACATGACCGATATTTGTACTTGGATTGTTGAACGGAAATTCCCCTTCAGAAAAAAAAGACAAATTCATATTTTAAATTATATTTTTAAATAAAATTGTAATTTATTAAATTATTTTTTTTGTGTATTATAAATAAAATAATGGAAAAAGAAAAAATAAATGAAAATTAATTTAATATTTGCAAAGAATAAAAAAAAAAATGAAAATTACCTCGCACTGATTTCACCATTTTATGAAATGCCATTAAATCACAATCGTGAAGGGAAACTCGTGTCTTGACTACAGTTACATTTTCGTAAAGACGCGTTTGTCGTTTTTGCTGTAAGAATAAAAAATTCAAAAATTACAAAAAAAGTGATTAGAAATTTTTTCTTTTTCTAAATTATTAAAAATTATCTATACAAAAGAATTAAATTTCCTTTATTTGTGTCAATAATTTCTATGAAATGAAAATCAATGAATATAACAGAAAAAAATTCCTTCTGTTTACTTACTCGACGATCGAGTGATGTTTTTCTTCGTTCAATTGTGTTCCAGGCAGATGAATTTCTAGGTGGCAAAGGCGGTGGTGCTGCCGGTGAAACGGCTGGCGATTTTGCCGATTTTTCCACAGCCGCATAAACTGGATCGGAATTGACGGTTTCACTTGTACTATACATGTAGTCAAACGGGTCAAAAGGATCATAAACTGAACCGCTGTACTGTGACTCAACTTCTGTGTAAAAACAATAAATTTCAAACATAGTTTTTTAAAAAAAGCAAAAAATAACAGTTTTTCGTTAAAATATAAAAATTTGTTATTTAATTTAATTTTTTTGTTATCCCTTCTTTAACATATTTACGAATTATTATTATTTCTTTAAATAAAAAATAGAAAAAAAAAAATTTGTAGAACAAAATAGTAATTGAAGAAGAAGGTAAAATTAATTAATAATTACCGTCTTTTAATCCTTTTGCATTATCTCTAATTTCTTCAGTCTTTACAAGTAAAGGATCAAAAGCCTCCAAAACGCTAACACGCACATTTGTTTTATCATCTATCGATTCGTATGCGCTTAAATCAATAAGATTGCTATTCGGTTTTTTTTCAATGACTTTCAAGACATTAAATTGATTTTCATCAATGGCATAAGGAACTTTTGCAGCGGCAGTAACGGGCGATGGAATTCCAGGACGATAATTCATTGGCAGAGGTGGTATCTGTAAAATAAGAAAATTCACTATTAAAATTACATTTACATAAATATATTTCAAGTGCACTCTAAAAAGGGAATGAATAATTTTTTTCTTGATTAGTACTTTAAAATTAATTGATCATAAGCAAAATCAATTAATTTAATTTATTTGCCATTATTAATTAATTATTTTTTAAATATATAGTTACTATTTAATTATTTAATTAGTTACTATTTAAATAGTTCTATTCTATTCTCACTCTAGTTAATAATAATAAAAAAAAAAACAAAAGAAATTTTAGTTTGTCTAAATGCAAAATAGATGTGAAAATTAGTAAAATTTTTCAACTATTCCTAAGTAAAAATACCTGCATGAAGAAATAATTTGTAAAAGTATTGAGATTCCAAGCGGGCTATAATAAAAAGTTATCATTAAATATTTAACACCGAAAGTAAAATTATTAATTTTCTATATGGGTAAGTCCACGTCAGAAATATCAGAATCTGCAAGTGGTTCTTCGATTTTAATGATACTTGGTAAAATTATAGCTTTATATAAGAGCAATGTGTAAGTAAAAGAAATTTTTAAAATATCTAAAATTGTAGGAGTTATATCACTTTTAATTTTGGTACTGCATTTTTTTCTTTCCTTTATATCTCGGTCAATTTTCAACCGATTTTGATGAATCAAAAACAATTTTTTTCAGAAAATTACGTATTTTCAGAAAATTTTAAAATAAAAATAAAATTTTGTTATTTAAATAGAAAAAAGTAAAAAACAAAATTTCTTTTAGATTTTTTTTCAATTTCGACCTCTTTTTTTTTAATTTTTTAATAATATTCCTTTTTATTTTATCTTTAATTTAAAAAAAAATTCATCCTGGAGACTTTTTTAGATCTCGTGATATCGTCCTTTAAGTATTATAAGTCTTCATCAATTTGAAAACCGCAGGACTTGCTTCTATCATTACTTTCATTTGTTTGTTGAAATTTTTTATGGTTATGAATAAATATTTGTTTTAGAATCCTCTAAAAGAAAGCGCTAAAAACTTCAGCTACAATTTCAGGTTGCATTGTTAAGGTTTCATTACAATTTATTTTAAATTATAAATATTACAAAAAATAAAAACTTTGCTTCAAATCTATTAATAAAATATTGATTTGCTTGAATTTTCACTTGTTTTAGTCAAGTAATTTAAAAATAAAAACATTATTACGCGAAAGTTTCTAGTTTGTAACAATAATATTATAAAACAAATGAAAGTAGAAACACAAATCTGGATCCTAGTTTTCTTGAGATGTGGATATTTAAAGAACGATATCACGAGATCTAAAAAAGTCTCCAGGATGAATTTTTTTTTAAATTAAAGATAAAATAAAAAGGAATATTATTAAAAAATTAAAAATTAAAAAAAAGAGGTCGAAATTGAAAAAAAATCTAAAAGAAATTTTGTTGTTTACTTTTTTCTATTTAAATAACAAAATTTAATTTTTATTTTAAAATTTTCTGAAAATACGTAATTTTCTGAAAAAAATCGTTTTTGATTCATCAAAATCGGTTGAAAATTGACCGAGATATAAAGGAAAGAAAAAAATACAGTATCAAAATTAAAAGTGACATAACTCCTACAATTTTAGATATTTTAAAAATTCCTTTTACTTACACATTGCTCTTATATAAAGCTATAATTTTACCAAGTATCATTAAAATCGAAGAACCACTTGCAGATTCTGATATTTCTGACGTGGACTTACCCATATGTATATGAATGAAAAAGAACAAAATTATTGAACAAAAATTCTGTAAAAGTGGAAAATAGCGATGAGTTAATTATTCCAGTTGTTTTGAAGAATTTGAAGGTTGAAAAAAAATTTCAACGTTCGATAGAAACCCTTATAGAATTAATATTAATTTAATATTAATTGATTTAATATTAATTGATTTAATATTAATTGATTTAATATTAATTAATTTAATAAATAAATAAATTAATTTAATTTAATATTAATTCTATATACTGTATGTAAATCCAATTAAATAGAAATTTGAATTTATGAATTTAGAAAACACTAGAAAGTCAAACTATAAATCAGTTTAATGGAATATAATTAATGCGTTCGATGTTTTCTTTTTTAAATTATAATTATCAAAAAATATTTTTTTGTTATTTACCTGTGGAATTGGTTCTGAAACATTATTGGAAATGCTCGTTGCCCTGGACATAACGGGACTGATTCCCGGCGTACCCGGTGTACATGGCGCTGTTGATGCTTTCGATCCAGGCGCCGGTGATGATGGCGATTGATAACGAAAGTCTCGCTGTTGATAAGCAGCTGCCGAACTGTTACTTCTTGAGACTCGCGATGGTCTTCTCAATAATGCCGGATGTGTATCCCATTTTGGTTCAACTGGCGCTTTTCTATAAAAATTAAATTCATTATTTTTCTCCCCTCTTTAAAATTATAATTAAAATTTAAATAAAAAAACAAAATTATTTTGAAACAAAATTTATTATTTTTTATTTATTTCCCCCCCCCCATAGATTTCTATTAGAATTTTACTAATTTATTTGTCTTCTTTAATTATAGAAAGAAAAAAATTAATTATTTACATGTAAACGGGCTTACAAAAAAGAAAAAAAAAAAAGAAAATTTCCTTTTTGGTACAGAAGTACCAAAATTAAAATATAGAACTAATAAATTATTTCAAAAAAAATTCCAAAAATAATATTAGTTTTTTCTCATGAAAAAAGAATTTTTTTTTTCTTTTTTGTACCAAAGATTTTGTATAAAATGTTGTTTTTGAACAAATAATAAATAAAAAAACATAAAATATCGATCGAGTGATAAAATAAATAAAATTTTAAATAATAAAATCGAGTATAAAAAAAAATTGTAATGTAAAAAAAGAAAAAAACTTACGGTGGGACAACTGGAGGTGCGGTACAATATTCAGCTAATGAATCCTGTTTAACAGGACTCGTAAAATTAATTAAATCAACACCTTGATTTCCCACGGCTGAATTTGTTGAATTTCTTCTACATGGAATTGGAGGAGGCGGCACAATAATAACACCATTACGTGATTGGCCTGAATTATAAGCACCAGGTCTAGGTCGACTCCTGTGCTGTATTCTATAAAATATTTACATCAATTAATAAATTATTCAAATAAAATTATAAATTTCATCTCAATTCATAAATTTTCTTTTTAAAGTCACATTTTTTTTTAAATTCTATTTTATTAACATATTTTCTTTATTTTAATAATAATTATTAATAATGTAATCAAATAAATGTTAAAAAATTGTAATAACTTTTTTATTAAATAAAATAAAAATTTTCAATAAAAAAAAAAATTAGAAAATTTTTTTATTTGTTATTTTAATTAAGTTTGAATTATTTATTTCGAAATTAAATTAATTAATCATATATTTTTTTTTAAATTGTAAAATTATATTTTCTATAAAAAAAAATTAATTTAATTTTTATTCTATTTTATTAAAATAATTTTTTTTCCCCCATTTAAAAAAGAAAAAAAAAAGGAAAATATAAAAATAAAAATCTTACTTTTCTACTGTGCCATCGGCTTCGCTTATTGAATTACTATCACTTCTTGATGCGCACGATTGCTGATGAATATTATTGCCACATTGATTTTGTTGTTTTTGTAGACGAAATTTTTCCAGTGCCAAACTTTCCAAGCTCAATGCTTGTGCACGTTCTAAATCTTCTTGAAATTGTCGTTCATAATCGATCATCGCCGATTTCTGAGTATGATTTCTCCCATAACTCGACATCTGCCAATGAAAAATCATTATTTTATAATTTTATAATCTAAATAATTGTTATATATTTATCAATTATCAATTTTGCGAATTTTTTTTTTTATCAAAATTATTTTTTCTCGAGTTTTAGATATTATTATATAAATTTTATCAGTGAAATCGCATTTTTTTTTCTCTGAAATTTATATAATTTCAAATATTTTTATTTCATTAAAAATTGAATCTAAATCTATTGTTAAACTTAAAATATTTTAAAAACGTAATTTTTCAAATTTGTTTATTTTTTATTACAATTTATTTATAAAGAAAAGAAATTATTAATTTTTTTCCTGTTAATAAAAATTAATTATTATTAAAAACAAATCTATAATAAAATAATTTTTTTTGCAGTTTAATTTTATTTTAATTTTTAATTTCAATTAATTAATAGCTAATTTTAATATTATATTTTGAAAAAAAAGTTTACTAATTTTTTTTCGGTTAACAATAATAATTATTATTTAATATAAAATTGTAAAATAATAATTATTTTAATTTTTTCGTGTTAAAATAGTTTAATTTTAATTTTTTTGTTTGAATATCTATTAAATATTAATTATAAAAACACAGGCCTCGAATCAACTTAAAGACACAAAAAAGTCGTTTCAGTCAATTTATATTCCAAAAAAAGTGGATTTGTTTTTTATTTTAACAAAAATATTTTACAGATTTTTAAATAAAAATTTTTTTTTTAAATAATAATCCTTTTCGAAGGGTTAAAGTTGAAATTTTTAGAAATAATTAAATTTCAAAAGATATATTGTTAATTTTCAAACAATTATTAAATTTTACAGAACTAAAAATAATTTATTAAAACAATTTTTGGAAAATATTTTTTAAATTTAATTGAATTTTCAAAGATTTAAAATTGAGATTTTTGAAATTAATTGAAACTTTAAGTGATTTTTAATTAAAATTTTAGATGATTTCACTAAAAATTTATTAGAAAATGCGGACAAAATACAATAATTTGAAAATCATTTTTAATTGAAAAATGGTTTCAGATAGTTGAATTTTCAAAGAATATTATTAAAATAGTTAAAAATAATTTAATTTCCTTAGAGTTATAATTGAAATTGTTAAATTTCAAAAAAAAAATTTCAATGGAAAATTTTATAAATAATTAAATTTTAGATGCTTTTAAATTCAAATTATTGAAAATTCAATTAATTTTGAATTCAAATTTTTGAGAATAATGAAATTTTATTTGATTTTAAATTTGGAAAATAATTGAATTTCAGTTCATTTTGAATTGAAAATTTTGGGAAATAATTGAATTTTAATTGAAATTTTGGATAATAATTTAATTTTAGTTGATTTTAAATTGAAATTTTTGATAATAATTGAATTTTATTTGATTTTGAATTTGGAAAATAATTGAATTTCAGATCATTTTGAATTGAAAATTTTGGTAAATAATTGAATTTTAATTGAAATTTTGGATAATAATTTAATTTAAGATCATTTTTGATTGAAAATTTGGATAATTAATTTTGAATAGAAATTTTTAAAAAATAATTGAATTTTATTTCATTTTAAGTCGTTTTAGTCGATTTATATTCGAAAAAAGTCGAAAAAGTCGATTTTTTTTATTTTAACAAAAATATTTTTTAGATTTTTAAATAAAAATTTTTTTTTAAATAATAATACTTTTGGAAGGGTTTAAAATGAAATTTTTAAAAATAATTGAATTTCAACAGATTTTGTTAATTTTCAGACAATAATTAAATTTTACAGAACTAAAAATAATTTATCAAATAATTTGAGATAACATTTTTTAAAGGTAATTGAATTTTCAAAGATTTACAATTGATATTTTTAAAATTAATTGAACTACAAGGGATTTTTAATTAAAAATTTTAGATGATTTCACTAAAAAATTTATTAGAAATTGCGGACAAAAATACCATTTTTCATTGAAAAATGGTTTCAGATAGTTCAATTTTCAAAGAATATTATAAAAATAGTTAAAAATAATTTAATTTCCTTAGAGTTATAATTGAAATTGTTAAATTTCAAAAAAAAAAAATTTCAATGGAAAATTTTATAAATAATTAAATTTTAGATGCTTTTAAATTCAAATTATTGAAAATTATTGAATTACAATTGAAATTTTGGATAATAATTTAATTTTAGTTGATTTTTGATTGAAAATTTTGATAATAATTAATTTTGGATTGAAATTTTGGATAATTATTGAATTTTAAAAGATTTTGAATTGAAAATTTTGAAAATAATTGAATTTTCTTTGATTTTTGATTGAAAATTTTGATAATAATTAATTTTGGATTGAAATTTTGGATAATTATTGAATTTTAAAAGATTTTGAATTGAAAATTTTGAAAACAATAGAATTTTCTTTGATTTTGAATTGAAATTTTGGGTAATAATTTAATTTTAGTTGATTTTAAATTGAAATTTTTGATAATAATTGAATTTTATTTGATTTTGAATTTGGAAAATAATTGAATTTCAGATCATTTTGAATTGAAAATTTTGGTAAATAATTGAATTTTAATTGAAATTTTGGATAATAATTTAATTTAAGTTCATTTTTGATTGAAAATTTGGATAATTAATTTTGAATAGAAATTTTTAAAAAATAATTGAATTTTATTTCATTTTAAGTCGTTTTAGTCGATTTATATTCGAAAAAAGTCGAAAAAGTCGATTTTTTTTATTTTAACAAAAATATTTTTTAGATTTTTAAATAAAAATTTTTTTTTAAATAATAATACTTTTGGAAGGGTTTAAAATGAAATTTTTAAAAATAATTGAATTTCAACAGATTTTGTTAATTTTCAGACAATAATTAAATTTTACAGAACTAAAAATAATTTATCAAATAATTTGAGATAACATTTTTTAAAGGTAATTGAATTTTCAAAGATTTACAATTGATATTTTTAAAATTAATTGAACTACAAGGGATTTTTAATTAAAAATTTTAGATGATTTCACTAAAAAATTTATTAGAAATTGCGGACAAAAATACCATTTTTCATTGAAAAATGGTTTCAGATAGTTCAATTTTCAAAGAATATTATAAAAATAGTTAAAAATAATTTAATTTCCTTAGAGTTATAATTGAAATTGTTAAATTTCAAAAAAAAAAAATTTCAATGGAAAATTTTATAAATAATTAAATTTTAGATGCTTTTAAATTCAAATTATTGAAAATTATTGAATTACAATTGAAATTTTGGATAATAATTTAATTTTAGTTGATTTTTGATTGAAAATTTTGATAATAATTAATTTTGGATTGAAATTTTGGATAATTATTGAATTTTAAAAGATTTTGAATTGAAAATTTTGAAAATAATTGAATTTTCTTTGATTTTTGATTGAAAATTTTGATAATAATTAATTTTGGATTGAAATTTTGGATAATTATTGAATTTTAAAAGATTTTGAATTGAAAATTTTGAAAACAATAGAATTTTCTTTGATTTTGAATTGAAATTTTGGGTAATAATTTAATTTTAGTTGATTTTAAATTGAAATTTTTGATAATAATTGAATTTTATTTGATTTTGAATTTGGAAAATAATTGAATTTCAGATCATTTTGAATTGAAAATTTTGGTAAATAATTGAATTTTAATTGAAATTTTGGATAATAATTTAATTTAAGTTCATTTTTGATTGAAAATTTGGATAATTAATTTTGAATAGAAATTTTTAAAAAATAATTGAATTTTATTTCATTTTAAGTCGTTTTAGTCGATTTATATTCGAAAAAAGTCGAAAAAGTCGATTTTTTTTATTTTAACAAAAATATTTTTTAGATTTTTAAATAAAAATTTTTTTTTAAATAATAATACTTTTGGAAGGGTTTAAAATGAAATTTTTAAAAATAATTGAATTTCAACAGATTTTGTTAATTTTCAGACAATAATTAAATTTTACAGAACTAAAAATAATTTATCAAATAATTTGAGATAACATTTTTTAAAGGTAATTGAATTTTCAAAGATTTACAATTGATATTTTTAAAATTAATTGAACTACAAGGGATTTTTAATTAAAAATTTTAGATGATTTCACTAAAAAATTTATTAGAAATTGCGGACAAAAATACCATTTTTCATTGAAAAATGGTTTCAGATAGTTCAATTTTCAAAGAATATTATAAAAATAGTTAAAAATAATTTAATTTCCTTAGAGTTATAATTGAAATTGTTAAATTTCAAAAAAAAAAAATTTCAATGGAAAATTTTATAAATAATTAAATTTTAGATGCTTTTAAATTCAAATTATTGAAAATTATTGAATTACAATTGAAATTTTGGATAATAATTTAATTTTAGTTGATTTTTGATTGAAAATTTTGATAATAATTAATTTTGGATTGAAATTTTGGATAATTATTGAATTTTAAAAGATTTTGAATTGAAAATTTTGAAAATAATTGAATTTTCTTTGATTTTTGATTGAAAATTTTGATAATAATTAATTTTGGATTGAAATTTTGGATAATTATTGAATTTTAAAAGATTTTGAATTGAAAATTTTGAAAACAATAGAATTTTCTTTGATTTTGAATTGAAATTTTGGGTAATAATTTAATTTTAGTTGATTTTAAATTGAAATTTTTGATAATAATTGAATTTTATTTGATTTTGAATTTGGAAAATAATTGAATTTCAGATCATTTTGAATTGAAAATTTTGGTAAATAATTGAATTTTAATTGAAATTTTGGATAATAATTTAATTTAAGTTCATTTTTGATTGAAAATTTGGATAATTAATTTTGAATAGAAATTTTTAAAAAATAATTGAATTTTATTTCATTTTAAGTCGTTTTAGTCGATTTATATTCGAAAAAAGTCGAAAAAGTCGATTTTTTTTATTTTAACAAAAATATTTTTTAGATTTTTAAATAAAAATTTTTTTTTAAATAATAATACTTTTGGAAGGGTTTAAAATGAAATTTTTAAAAATAATTGAATTTCAACAGATTTTGTTAATTTTCAGACAATAATTAAATTTTACAGAACTAAAAATAATTTATCAAATAATTTGAGATAACATTTTTTAAAGGTAATTGAATTTTCAAAGATTTACAATTGATATTTTTAAAATTAATTGAACTACAAGGGATTTTTAATTAAAAATTTTAGATGATTTCACTAAAAAATTTATTAGAAATTGCGGACAAAAATACCATTTTTCATTGAAAAATGGTTTCAGATAGTTCAATTTTCAAAGAATATTATAAAAATAGTTAAAAATAATTTAATTTCCTTAGAGTTATAATTGAAATTGTTAAATTTCAAAAAAAAAAAATTTCAATGGAAAATTTTATAAATAATTAAATTTTAGATGCTTTTAAATTCAAATTATTGAAAATTATTGAATTACAATTGAAATTTTGGATAATAATTTAATTTTAGTTGATTTTTGATTGAAAATTTTGATAATAATTAATTTTGGATTGAAATTTTGGATAATTATTGAATTTTAAAAGATTTTGAATTGAAAATTTTGAAAATAATTGAATTTTCTTTGATTTTTGATTGAAAATTTTGATAATAATTAATTTTGGATTGAAATTTTGGATAATTATTGAATTTTAAAAGATTTTGAATTGAAAATTTTGAAAACAATAGAATTTTCTTTGATTTTGAATTGAAATTTTGGGTAATAATTTAATTTTAGTTGATTTTAAATTGAAATTTTTGATAATAATTGAATTTTATTTGATTTTGAATTTGGAAAATAATTGAATTTCAGATCATTTTGAATTGAAAATTTTGGTAAATAATTGAATTTTAATTGAAATTTTGGATAATAATTTAATTTAAGTTCATTTTTGATTGAAAATTTGGATAATTAATTTTGAATAGAAATTTTTAAAAAATAATTGAATTTTATTTCATTTTAAGTCGTTTTAGTCGATTTATATTCGAAAAAAGTCGAAAAAGTCGATTTTTTTTATTTTAACAAAAATATTTTTTAGATTTTTAAATAAAAATTTTTTTTTAAATAATAATACTTTTGGAAGGGTTTAAAATGAAATTTTTAAAAATAATTGAATTTCAACAGATTTTGTTAATTTTCAGACAATAATTAAATTTTACAGAACTAAAAATAATTTATCAAATAATTTGAGATAACATTTTTTAAAGGTAATTGAATTTTCAAAGATTTACAATTGATATTTTTAAAATTAATTGAACTACAAGGGATTTTTAATTAAAAATTTTAGATGATTTCACTAAAAAATTTATTAGAAATTGCGGACAAAAATACCATTTTTCATTGAAAAATGGTTTCAGATAGTTCAATTTTCAAAGAATATTATAAAAATAGTTAAAAATAATTTAATTTCCTTAGAGTTATAATTGAAATTGTTAAATTTCAAAAAAAAAAAATTTCAATGGAAAATTTTATAAATAATTAAATTTTAGATGCTTTTAAATTCAAATTATTGAAAATTATTGAATTACAATTGAAATTTTGGATAATAATTTAATTTTAGTTGATTTTTGATTGAAAATTTTGATAATAATTAATTTTGGATTGAAATTTTGGATAATTATTGAATTTTAAAAGATTTTGAATTGAAAATTTTGAAAATAATTGAATTTTCTTTGATTTTTGATTGAAAATTTTGATAATAATTAATTTTGGATTGAAATTTTGGATAATTATTGAATTTTAAAAGATTTTGAATTGAAAATTTTGAAAACAATAGAATTTTCTTTGATTTTGAATTGAAATTTTGGGTAATAATTTAATTTTAGTTGATTTTAAATTGAAATTTTTGATAATAATTGAATTTTATTTGATTTTGAATTTGGAAAATAATTGAATTTCAGATCATTTTGAATTGAAAATTTTGGTAAATAATTGAATTTTAATTGAAATTTTGGATAATAATTTAATTTAAGTTCATTTTTGATTGAAAATTTGGTTAATTAATTTTGAATAGAAATTTTAGAAAATAATTGAATTTTATTTCATTTTAAATTGAAAACTTGGTAAATAATTAAATTTTAAATTGAAAATTTTTGATAATTATTGGATTTTTAATTGATTTTGAATTAAAATTTCGGGTAATAATTGAATTTTAGTTTATTTTGAATTGAAATTTTTAAAAAATAATTCAATTTTATTGTGATATTTTTTTTTTAAATTATAAACCATTGTTAAATTTCATAAAAATTTTAATTGAAAAATAATTTTGATATAATTGAATTTGTGATGTATTTCATTAAAATTATTAAAAATAATTATTGATAATATTAATCTTTAATTTCTTTATAACAAATAATTAAATACTCAATTTGGCGCGCGTTTAATTTTGCTAGTTTATTTATAAAGAAAAGAAATTATTAATTTTTTTTCTGTTAATAAAAATTAATTATTATTAAAAACAAATCTATAATAAAATAATTTTTTTTTAGTTTTATTTTAGTTTTATTTTAGTTTTATTTTTTATTTTATTTTTTTTTTAGTTTTATTTTAATTTTTAATTTCAATTAATTAATAGCTAATTTTAATATTATATTTTGAAAAAAAAGTTTACTAAATTTTTTTCGATTAATAATAATTATTATTATTTAATATAAAATTATAAAATAATAATTATTATAATTTTTTCGTGTTAAAATAGTTTAATTTTAATTTTTTTTGTTCTCCATTAATTAAAAATAAAATATTTAAAAATACGATTTTTTTTTACATTATAAAAGATTGTAGACAAGAGAATGTAAATTGAAACTTTAACAAGATATGTGAAAGGGTATAATAAATAATATACATCCACTTTATAATTTCTATAAGTGAATTTCTTTCATGAAGAGTGTGACGCTAAAAAAAAAATGTTTAAAACATGTGTTTTCGTTAATAACATTATATATCAAAATTGAAAACAAACCACGCCATTGTATGGAAATTTAATGAAAGACCAATTAAGAATTATGCTCTTGTCATTCGAGAAATTTGTAACAGTAATTATTTCGCGAGATACAATATTAAACCGCAAATAATTCATCATTTTCAATTCTATTTTAATAATTTATAAAAATTCTTATCAAAAAAATTATATATATATATTTTTTTTACCGAGGGAAAGTAAAAAAAAAAAGTAGAAAAAATTATAATAACCTCTCTACGTCCATAATAATTGAAAAAAAATTAAATTGCTTAATTAAAAATGACTATAACATCAATATTTTTCTTTTTTTTTTAATTAAAATATTTTTAAAGAAAAGAAAAAATTTATCATCTTTTATTTATTTTTATCTTCAATATTTTTTTATTTAACGAGTTTTCCTAACCTAAAAATTAAATACTAATAGTTTTTTAATTTACTTTCATTTTATCTTACTATTTTTAAAATCAATATCAGTTTTAAAAGTTCAAAATTATTATTTAAAAAACAAATAAATTGAAAATTATATAAAGCAATAAAAAAAAATTATAAAAAAATAAAAAGATCGTCTCACCCTTTACAAAAAAATAAATTTGCTATTTCCCTGCGATAATTGGCAAAACTCGAGAATAATGTTTAATAAACAATAATATACACTGCAATTAAAAATGAAAAATTACAAAATACAAACAACAGAGAAAGGAATAATAACGTCATTATTGCTCAATATTTCTCATATAAGGAATTATAAAAAAGTGATTGTAAAAGAAGATAAAATCGAATTAATTTTTTTCTAAATTTGACACTTCGATAAAAAAAAATAATAAAACGTGCGGTTATTGAAAAAAAAACTCAGTGGGGGTAAATAATTTGATTGAGAAAGATTCACATGTTTTTTTTCGATTAAAAAAAAGGAATGGATCTTTTACAAAAAAAAAACAACTTTAACCTTCGTAACTTTCGGAGCAAGACACCAAACAATTAATTATTGTTAACTATATATATGTAGTGTATACATATATACATGGAAAAATGGACATTATTAGTATAAGTGAATTTATCATATCATTGTTAACGCACAGTGTGTATATGTATATAAGCAAAACAAGACTTCCGCTATCAAAGATAATAATGCGATAAAATAGCGCCTTCTGTCATTCATACGCGCGTTTATTAATATAATCAAGAATCATCCAACAGTCTGCTCTCTCGCGAGGAGATTCACGTCGACAATGGTTGTGTGTATGTTAAAATATATACGTATATATGTATATTACTTTTGTCAAAGAGAGAGAGAAAAAAAAAAAGGAGCAAACAGAAATACGACTTACCGTGGCATTATTTCCATCAAAAAATTATTGTAATCAACACAAATTTAATAAAAAAAAAAAATAATAATAAAAGTAACACAAATACACTGAACAAAAAACACTGTAAAACTTTTTTATAACAATAATAATAAATAAAGACGTGACATCTTTGAATTTACAGTTCGACACGAGTCAACAATTTCACAAAAACGAAGTGAAGTTTGACATTGACAGCTGGTCGATGTGAAGTTGCCACGAGTCGATATTAATATTATCGAATATTTATCGAAAGTATTCAAAAGTGGCGGCATTTTCAAATACGAAATTTGTTATTTTTTTATTATTCATTTTTATTATTATTATTTATATATTATTATTACTATTATATGAAAAATTAATCTCGCTTTATTTAAAAAATCAATTAATAGAAGAGACATTAATTTTTTATTAATTATTCTTTAAAAAAAAGTTGGACATTTTATTTGTTGTGTCACGTGACGTGTGTCAAGTCAAGAATTTTTTGGTCATTTTTTCCTTGATTTTTTCTTTAAGTTTTATTCAATTAAAATAATGAATTCGTTATATTGTTTGTGAAATTTTATTTAACATGTAATTAAACTTGTTTTTTTCTTATTATTATTATTGTGGTAAAAATACGGAAATGGAGAGAGGAAATTTAAGAAAATCAATTATTTGGAGGTTAGGAAAGAAAGTTTCGACTGTTTGGTAATTTTATTTACAAAATTAATTATTAATTAATTAATATGTAGTTATTTAATTTAAAAAAATGTCAGTTAAGTACAAAAATATAATATTTTCGTCAAAAATACTATAAAATTGCTAAAAAAAAAAAAGAAAATAATAAAATAGCAAAATTTTAATATTTTAAAAAATATTGACTATATTAAAAAACTAACCTTTATTATAAGTATAATATAGAAAATTTGGAAAATTCAATGGAAAATAAAAATATTTTAGAAATAAATTAAAATCAATTTGTAATCGATACAATTTTCAGCCAAATTCCTTTTTCGCTACTTGTCATGTAATTTCGACGGCTGAAAATTAACGGAATTGCTGATTTTTCACAAAGTTCCACACGATGATTTCTGAGAAATGTAATTATTCCCATTTTCGTTTGTAAATATGCAAAACGTTGTCCTAGAAAAATTATTGTTATAAGAAAATTTCACAAGAAATTCGCGTCTGGATTATTAAATTTTTTTTTATATTTTAAGTGTAAAATAAATAAATTCAAATTTTTCTCGTAAAAATAAAAAATTATAAATTATTTGCTTTTACTACAAATATAAATAAAAAAATAAATTTTTAATTAAAAAATTGTTTAATATATATTATTGTAGGCAATTTTATTTTTAATTAAAAAAATAAATTATTAATAAAATAATAATAATTAATTAATTAAGCAAATAATAATTATTAATAATTTTTTTTTCTATTATTATTATTATTATTATTATATTATAGTAGTAAATTTTATTTTTAATAAAAAAAAAATATTTTTTTTTAATTAAATAAATAAAATATTAATAAAATAATAATAATTAATTAATTAAGCAAATAATAATTATTAATAAATTTTTTTTCTATTATTATTATTATTATTATTATTATTATTATATTATACTAGTAAATTTTATTTTTAATCAAAAAAAAAAATATTTTTTTTTAAATAAAGTATTAATAAAATAAAAAAGAAAAATTTATTGATTCCTCGAATTTTGTAGAGTTTTTTTTTTTTTTACTTTTTTTTGATTTTCAAAAACTAAAATTTTGGGGACTTTTTTTTTTTAAATAAACAAACAATTTTTGAAAAAAAAAAAAAAATAATACTTTTTTGTTTCTTTGGAGTAGAATTTGTAAAATTTATTTTTCTAAATTAGGATATTTCAATAATTAATGTATAAATTAAAAAAAATAATAAAATTACCAATGCAACCACGTGGTCCATCGCCAAACGGTAGATAAACAAATGGATGCCTCTTTTTTTTATTCTCCTCATTAAATCTCTCGGGATCAAAAATTTCCGGATCCGGGTAATTATTGGCGTCATGATGAAGTCCATAAATTGGAATAATAACCCTCATTCCCGCTGGTAATTCAATTTCAGTGCCTGGGATTTTATATGGACCCTCACATTTTCTCGACAATAGAGGCGATAGTGGATATTTTCTCAAAGTTTCTTTTTTAAAAAAAAAAAAAAAACAAAAAACAAAAAAAGGAAATAAAAATTATATTTCCATTCACTTTCAATTTAATTCAATTTTTTAATTTATCAAGAAAAAAAAAATCAATTTTTTGACAATTGAAAATCCACGAATTATAGTTACTTTTATTGTTCCATAATTAATTTATCAAAAAAAAAAATTATGCGAAAAAAAATTCCTAATTTTCTAAAAAAAATTTGTTTTTTAATAAAAAGAAACAATTTTTTTTTTCGATACTACTTATCAATTTTTTTTTTTTTTACCTGAAACCACCATGTCGAGATATTTCATTTCTTGTATTGCATCGTAAGTCAATTTGCCATCGTATTTTTCCAATGTATCCAAAATATCGCGTCTCGTGATTTCTTGAATTTCACTATTCAATGCCAATTCATGTAGACAAAAAGAAATTACATTCGCTGATGTATCATAGCCAGCGACAAAAAATACAAAAGCTTGAGCTGTTATTGTATCTTCATCTAATTCTAAAACAGAATTCATATAATAATTCGCTTTGAAAAAAAATTTTTTTTAATATTTGTTAAAAATTTATTATTTTTTCAATTCTAAAAATAAATTCGAAAATTTTATTTATTTTCAATTATTTATTTACTAATGATAATTATTATTTATTATTTCTATTTTTTTTATAATTATTTAATTTTATTTAATAAATATAAAATAATTTATTATTAAAAAAAAGATTAAGATTTATTAAAAAGATTAATTATTTAATTAATAATAAAATAACTAATTTTATTTATTTTCAATTATTTATTTACTAATAATAATTATTATTTATTATTTCTATTTTTTTATAATTATTTAATTTTATTTAATAAATATAATAATTTATAATAATTAATAATAAAAAATAAATAATTTTATTTAATTTTTATTTTAAATTTAAAATTATAATTATTATTTAATTTTATTAATTATTTATTTAATTATTTAATTACTTTTTCGATTATTCTTTTTCTTCATTAGAAATAAATCAGAAAAAAAAACAGTTGCGTAAAGTAAAAAGCTTTTCGAGGAATTCGTAAATTATTATCTTATCGTGAAAGCGCATTCCAATTCAATTATAATTTCATTAATTTCAATTTATATTTATAGACAAAGTAAGAATATTGAAAAATTGCAAATCATTTTTTTTTTTGAATTTTCTATTATCAATATTAGAAAATTAAAAATTAAAAAAAGGGGAGCAAAATTTTTATTTATGAAAAATTTTTTCTTCTTTTTTTTACATTACGTTTTCAAAATATTTTTTACTAATAATAAAATTAGAAAATAGAAAAGAGAATAGAAAAATTAGATAAATTCAAAACAATATTATTAATAAAAAATTTCAAAAATTGTCTCATTTTTTTCTTTTTTTTTTTTTCCTAAACTGTAGAGATATATTTACCAATTTTTTTTGTTAATTGCTCATCATCATGATTTTCTTTGCCTTTGTTATCGGCTTCCAATGTGCCTTTATTTTTCAATTCAATCAATAAATCCATGAAGTCATGTCTTTTTAATTCTTGATTCTCTCTTTGCTTAATCACTTGTGATACGACGCTCTTAAAAAATTTTGTCACTTCAGGATCAATCATTTGCACTCCAAGAATTTTAAATAAACTGAAAAAAATGTTTTTCAAATTCAAAAAAAAAATCTTTCTTTCTTAAAGAAAAAAGAAAAAAAAAATCAAAAAAATTTCTCAAATAAATTTTCGATTATTAAAAAAATTATTTTACAATCAATCACTGCAAAAAAAGAATTCTCAGATTAAAAAAATTTTTCCTTAAAGAACAAATTAAAAAAAATTTCTCAAATTAATTTTCGATTATCAAAAAATTATTTTTTTTATCTTATATACAATATGAGTAATATTTGTCATTAACAATCTTTTTTTTTTTTTATTGATCAATTTTGTTTATTTTGAAATTTGTTATCGTTTATAAAAAAATTTTATAATCAATTATATTTTTTTTTTGTTTTTATAATCCCATTTTGTAATTATAATTATGAATTTTTATTTACAAATTAACAATTAAACGAGATTAATAATAATTATGTAATTATTCAATATTGTATTTAAAAATTTTTTAACTTTCAAAAATTTACAAATTTTTTTTCTTTAAAGGAAAATTATTTTATTATATTTTCTTTTTAAATTTATTTTTAGTTTTAATTTTTTCGTGTCAATCGAAAAAAATAGAAAGGGTCCAAGAAATTAATATTATTATTATTATTGTGTCATATTCAAGGTGACATAATAAATTACAATCATATGATTTATTCAAATTGAACCTAGAATTTTCTAATTTGTATTTCAATAGATGAGAGCCAATTGAAATGAAAAATTTTAAAAAATTGATTACACACAGTAAAATAATAATTTTATTTTAATAAGAAAAAATTCTTTTATTTTCCACTTTTATTTTTGACTAAATTTCTATATTAGTCGTAAAAAAAGAAAATTTTTCCCCCTTTTTTGTCACTATTGTTTATTTAAAAAATTTATATGTAAATTTATTTAATTTAATTTCAATCGAATTAATCTCATATTTATTTTATTATTATTTTTTCCTCGTTGAAAAAATTAAAATTAAAAAATTAAATTAAATTATTTTTCTACTAATAAATTAACAATTATTTATAAAATTAGTTTTTTAATTTTATTACCTTTTATTTGAAATAAAAAAAAAAATTCCTTTATTTTTTACCTTCAATTTTGAAATTTTTTTTTTTTTTTTTTTTTACCTTATTAATAATTGGCGATATGGAATTAATTTAATAATTACGTGGGCATTGCGGGTCGTAACATTCGCCAGATACTTGTTTTTAAGCTTGATTTTGATAATTTTCTCGCCATTGTTTTAAATTCACAATCCTTTGAATTAATTGCATTTGTTTGTATTCCAAAGGCACAGGTACCAATCACGTCAATTGTATAATTTGCAGCCAATACACGCGTATCAACAATCGATTCATTTTCCTTGGTAACGTTGATTATAATTTTTTCCAATTGTCCTGCACATTCTTCCAAAAGATAAAACATTCCCTTTATTTTACTCGGCGAAAATGCTGGCGTTAATTTTGATCTGAAAATTCGAAAAAAAGGTAAATTATAAGTAAAATTTTTATTTTTCTAAATTTTAATTAATTAATTAAATACTAAAATTTAATTATTATTAAATAATAATTATTTATTTTTCAAACAGAACAAGAAAAAAAAAATATAAATATATTTAATTTATAAAAAAAAATTTTTAAAAATGATAAAAAAATATAATTTACATAAAATTAAAATTAATATGAAATTAAAAAAAAAATAAAATAAAATAGAAATTAATTAATTAATAATTAAAAAAAAAAATAGAAATAAAAAATGAAAACTCACTTGAGTCCTTTCCATTTTTCTCCCTCGAGATTAAATAAATTTCCCATTAATGGATCGGTATTATTAATTGGAATTCCACGATTAGAAAAATTTGCAAAATCTTTTACAAATACATCTTTTATTAATTCGGGATTTTTTATAATTAAACTTGGTGTACGTACACGAAAAACACCAAAATAATCTTCATTTTTAAACCAATTGTATATTTCTAAAATTCCCTCGGGTTGTGATTTACGAAATAATAGTAATTCTTTGAAATTGCCAAAAAATATTATTGGTTTACGAAAGGGGACATTTTTTTTTGCCCAAAAATCAAATGTCGCAGTGAAATAATAATAAATTGTTGCCAATAATAGTCCAAGTAAAAAAAATGGATCCCACAGTAATTGAAAAATAATCCACATTTTTTTTTTTTTTTTTTTTGAAGTTATCTGGAAATTTTTTTAATATTTTTTAATTTTTAGGAGAAAAATTTTTTTCATTTAATTATTTTTAATTATTATTATTATTATATTATTATTATTTACTATTTATTTTTTAATTTTTTTGATTGGGTAATATTTATATTTTATAATTCAATTAATTAATTTCTATTTAATTTTTTAATATTAATTTAATTTTAATTTACACTTTTTCAAATTTTTTAAGGATAATTGTAGTTTTATTCATTTTTCTTTTTTTTATTTTATTTTTAAGGCAATTTGTATTTTTATTAATTTTTATTAGAATTTTTTTTTCTTATAATTGTTTATATATATATTTTTTTTTTTTGCTTTATTTTTTGTTTATTCTTATTTTTTATTGTTATTAATAATTTTTTATTATTCCATTTTTATTTATAATTATAATTTTATTTTTTCGCCATTGACATGAAAAAGTGTCTTTTTTGTGCCTGTTTTGGGCAGATAAAGTAGCACTTTTTAAGGCAGTTTGGGCCAACTGCCTAAAAAAGACTTTTTTAGGCAGCAAACTGCCGTATAAAGTCTTTTTTAGGCAGTAAACTGCCCTATAAAGTCTTTTTTAGGCAGTTGTTAATTTTTGCATAATTTTTTTTTTTGCTTTTATTTTATTTATCAATTTTTATTATTTTTTTTCTTTAAAATTGTTTCACTTTTTCATAACAATGGCGAAAAAAATAGCGTATGTGGCTCGCACGTAGTAATTTTTAGGTTCGGATGATTTCAATACTCGCTGTCTGTGCGACTTCGGTTCGACTCGGCTCGCTTTCGGCTCGACTCGACTCGCCTTCGGCTCGTCTTCATCTCACCTACAGCTCGCCTTCGTCTCACCTACGTCGCACTAACGACAGCTCGTACTGAAAATTACATCCTCACCTAAAAAGTACTACTTTACGTGCTTGCCACATAATATACTATTTTAAGGCAAATTGTATTTTTATTAATTTTTATTAGAATTTTTTTTAAAATTAAAAAATTAAATTGGTTGGTTCATTAAATAAATAAATAAATAAATAATTGTTTATATTTTTTTTTGCTTTATTTTTTGTTTATTCTTATTTTTTATTGTTATTAATAATTTTTTATTATTCCATTTTTATTTATAATCCATTTATGGCTTTTTTTTTTTTGTTTTTTTTATGGAAAATTTATTATTGCAAACAGTAGAAATTCCAAAATGTCTAAAAAGTCTTTATAGATTTTTATTATTATTATTATTATTATTATTATTATGAGAGATTTAAAATAATTTAAATTGCTAATTCGAAAAAGTATGCGAAATTACTTTTCTAATTAACAAGAGCGAGAAATGCTTTTTAGACCTTGGGTCGATGACGTTTCTCAAAATGTATATGTATATGTAAATTACTAATTGTTTATAGAACTTAAATTCCAAGAATACGATTTTTTTTCGTAAAATTGATTTTTTATCGTTTTATTTGCAAATTTTTTTTCTTTGGAAATTCACTTTTTTTTTGAGAAGCATAAAATTTAAACTGTTAATTAAATTTATCAATATATTTAATTATGATAATTAAATTTATCAATTTATTTAATTGTTAATTAAATTTATTAATTTATTTAATTAGCAATTTTAATTTATCAATTTATTTAATTGTCAATTTTAATTTATCAATTCGTTTAATTGTTAATTAAACTTATTGAGTTAATTAGTCAATTTTTTTTTTATTCAATTGTCAATTAAATTTTTTATAAATTAATTTAATTGTTTAATATTGAATTTTTAAAAATCACTTTTTCACTAATGATTCACTAATAATTGTTTACTTCTCTGTCAAAATGTCACAAAAAAAAAAAACTGTTTTTTCCTTTTGTATATTAAAATTAATTTTTTTTTGTACAAAATAAATTCGAAGCCGCGTTGGAAAAAATTTTTTTTTTTTTTTAATTAAACAAATAATTTTAATTTTTTTAAACACAATTTTTTGACAGATAAACAGAAAAATTTTTCTAACTTATAAAAACGATTTAAAATTGACGTTACTGGTAAGATCATTCGTATCAGACTGATGACGAAAACGGGACACAAACTACGATTGCGCGGCGCGGTTAAGAAAAACTTGAACAACATAAACATGTGTGGGAATTGCTTTAAACTCTCTCGAGTCGATTAATAAAATAAATCCACTAAAACCATCGAAAAAAAAAAAAACTATTTTTATCTCATTGCTGAGATTGATTTTTTTTTTAAATACAGCTATAGTGATAGTATTTTAAAACATTTTTTTTATTTAAATTAAATGGATCCAATAATAATAAAAAATAGTATTTTTTTTCGATTAGGGAAACAAATTTTTAAATACAATTTTATCTTTTTTTTTAATAAATAAAAAATTGTTAAATTATAAAAATTATTAATTATAATCATTATTTAGTTTTTTTTATCTAAAATATTTATTTAATAAACTATTTTAAAAAATTATTAAAATACTTTTTTTGTGTTGTAAAAAAAAATGTTTATTTCTACAATTTTTTTTTTAATTATTTAAAAAAGTAGATTATTAATTTTTTTTTTTTTTTTACATAAACTAAGTTTATAAAACAAATTTATTATTTTATCCGAATTAATTTGTGAAAAAAATTAAATTTTCTAATTTATAGTAATTGAATTTTAAATTGATAAAATAAATTTTCAATTAATCATTCGATTATAATTTATAATTTACAATTTATTGCAAAAAAAAACTGGTTTTTGACCTCATTTAACAGTGACTTTTCTACATAATATATAAATATATGTATATAAATAAAATAAACACAAATATAAGTGGGCGACTTTCGTTTCATCGCAATCAGACGAAAAATAGTAATTGATGATAAGAGTTCAACAACTTGGACTTATCCTCCTATCATTTTTGTCTATTTTTAATAATTAATTATTATCATTATTATTATTACCTACTAATATAAATATAAATTTTTTAAATTTTATGCAATTAAGAAAAATGAATATTATTTTTGCTGCAAATAAAATAAAAGAAAAAAAATAAAAGAAAAAAAAATTAATTTGATTAAAAAAAAATAATTATTAAAATATATTTATTATAATACTAATTTTTTTTAGAATTTTTAAATTTAATAATTAATTTCTAAGAATTTGAAAAACTATTTTTAAAAAACTGATCCATCATAATTTTTTTATTAAAAAAAAAAAAAAAATTATATATATACAGAAAAATCTGTTCGTTAGCAATTTTTTTTTTTTTTTTTTTTTGCATTTAGAATATTTCTAGAAAATCTAATTGTAAAAAAAAATTTTAATATTTATTCTACTTACCGTTTAAGAAGAATAAGAATACGATAAAATCTCTTTTGAACTCGAATTTTGTGATGTCTTGAATCCCAAAGAATTTTTTCTCAAGTAAATCTAAAAAGCCTCTCACATTGTTGAAGTCTCGCCTCGCTAAAATTATATATTATCAAAAAAAAATATATACTTTTTTCTTTCAATTTAAATGAAAAAGAAAAAAATTTCAAAAAAAAATTTAAATATGTAAATTAAAAATAATTAAAAATATTAAAAAGTAAATTAAAAATAATTAAAAATATTAAAAAGTAAATTAAAAATAATTAAAAATATTAAAAATAAATTTTCAAAAAATTGACCTAGTGTGAGCATTACGGATTAAATTTCATTAAAAAAAATTTGTAATTTTTTTCCCGGCTTTTGAAAAAAAAATTTTTATTATAATTTTTATCATTTTTAATATTATTATTATTATGTTTATTAATATTATTATAATTTTTATTATTTTTAATATTTTTATTATTTTTATTTTTTTTTATTATTTTTTATTATTTTTATTATTACTATTATTAAAATTATTAAAATTATTTTCAATATTTTAATTTCAATTATTATTATTATTATTATATTATTTTTGCTACTATTATTTTATTAAAAAATTTTTTTTTATTTATCATAATATAAAAAAAAAGGATATAAGAAACCCTTTTGATAACAGAGGTGATTTTTATTTCAACAAAAATAACAATTTACATTGAATTGTTTTTTGATAATAATATAATATTATCGTGTTACACCTGTAATTTTACTGTAGGCGTGATACGAGCTGGCTCGCTATTTTATTTGTTTATTTAATTTAATGAATTAATCCTTAATAGTGTTTCTTAATAATGTAATCGTATCGTCTCTCAGCTTTTCACATTCTGGTCACTTGTTTCATTATTATTATTATTATTATTAATATTATAATTATTATTATTATAATTATTATTTATTATTAATATTATTATATCTGATACGTTAATCCGGAGAAAGGATAAAAGTGCCTTGGATTATTATTGTTGTTTTTTTTATTCTCTCATTTAATAATTTTTTTTTTTTCATTAAATATATAATCAGCTTTATACAGCCTTTATGGTTTTTTTTTTCATAATAATTATAAATCCCGTCCAATTAAAAAAGAAAAAAATTTTTTTCCATATATAATATGAAATTTTACTTTTACTTTTCTTATATAAAAGAAAAATAATAAAAAAAAGAATTTTTTAATTGAATTAATATTAATTAATTTTTAAATAAATTCAATTAATATTAATTCCTAATTTTCGAATTTTTTTTTCTAATTTCCCTTTTCATTCCTAATTCAGTGATTTTTTTTTTTTTTTTTTTTCTTCTTCTTTCTATTTGCTAATTCTAAATTTATACAATTAATGTCAGGCTCGACACGCTCCTCCCTTCATGAAAAACTCTATCTTTTTTTTTATTTTATTTTTTTTTTGTTTATTATTATTTTTTAATCCATAACCAAATATTATGCAAAGTTATATATAAAAAAAAACAACGTGTATCTATTAATTTTTTTTTTTTTCATTTTCATGGAAATAACTTTGGCTAAACATAAATCTATTTTTTTTTTTTTTTAATCAGACATGTATATATATATTTATATAGATGTGTGTATATATATACGCATTGTAAAAAAAAAAAAAAAAGAAAAAAGTAATAAAATATTTTTGAAAACTTATAGAGAAAAAACGGAATGCAGAAAAAAATTTGAAACAAAAAATTTTTTTTTCTGTTTCTTTCTTTTTTTCTTTTTTTTTTTTTTTTTTTTTTAATGTACCGGAAGACCATCCATGCAACGAAAAAGCCCCTCTGCATTCTCTTTCCTTATTTTCTTTTTTAGTTTTTTTTTTTTTTGTTTTTTTGTTTTTTTTTTCTCTCTTATAATTGAAATCGCGCGACAGGAGATACTTGAATTAAAAAGCTAATATCACAAAGTTCTCCATTATTTATATTTGTAAGAACAAGTTTTTTTTTTTTCAATTATTTTTTTTTAATGCGAATAAAATAGTATTATAGTTTCAGATTTTATCGAATCTCATCGAAAATTTCTTACGTACAGAATATAATAATTATTATTATTAGGTATTATTATTATTATATATTTATATACACGCACTATATAGTTTTCGTTTTCAGAGCAATAATAGAAAAAACAAAAACGCACAAGACATTGAAATTATATTTTTAAATAGAAAAAAAAAAGATTAAAAAAAATTTTAGTTTAAAAATTGAGATCTTTTTAAAAATTAAATAATTCTTTGAAAAAAAAAAAAAATGTGTTTCTATTTTCTTTAAACGAAAAAAGAGACAAATATTTTTTTTTTTAAAACAAACAAATAAACGAAACGTGAAAAATTGCGCAAAAACAAAAAAAAAAATAGTAAAGTACAAAAAACAAAATTGGAAATTAAATATACAAATTTTAAATAAAATAAAGTAAAAAAATAGAATAGGAGAAAATAAATTTAAATTAAAAATACCGATCGAAATTTCTTTTTACAATTGAAATATTAAAAAAAAATTTTGAATTGAAATATAAGAAAATTTTTTAAAAACACAATATTTTAAAATTAAAAAAAAGAAAAGAAAAATGAAAGAGAAAAGAGAAAAAAGAAAGGCATTACAGAAAAAAAATAAGATACAGAAAATTGAGAGGATTTGTTCGTTAGCTTGCGTTATATAAAAAAAAAAAATCGAAGAAAGAATAGAGAAAAGGGTGGAGAGTCTGCGATCGATTATATATTATTTTTTTCAAAATTTAGAAGATCGTTTGGTTTTTTTTTTTTTTATCCAATTGAGAATAAACGTTTAATAGCCGCTTATAACGTAGTTTTACTATTCTTATATAAAAACAAGGCTGTATAAAAAGTGTGTGTGCGGTCGTGTGAATGATTTATCTCTCTCTCTCTCTCTCTCTCTCTTGCTTTCTTTCTCACACATACTTTGCTCTCATTCTCTCTTTCGTGTACTCTTTTTTTTCCAGAGTAAATAGATTAATTTTAAATTAAATAAAATCCTTCACTGAATCCTTCATGATCTTTTTTTTTTTAATTCTGCGCACTGTTTTTCCATTTTTTTTCCCCTCAGCTAATATTATTACAACAAAAGTCTCTTTCTGGGGAAAAAAAAAAGTTTTCCATTTTTTGTCTAAGTCAGTTCGTGATTTGCCTAGTCACTAGAACGCTAACTACAAGTTTTTTGTTGTTTTTTTTTTGTTTTACCTATCTCTGAGCTTAATTTTTTTTTTTTCATATTTATATATATATTTATATATATATACTTAAAATTCTAGATATACATTAGCCTAATAATCGTATATATATATATATGTATATATATATAATGCTCGTTATGAGTTAATACTATTTTACTATTTACAATGTTTTTTTTTTTTTTTTATTTCTCTTAAACCACTTTATTTTTTTTATATATATAAAAAAAGAAGAAAAAAAACATATATATGTAAATATATATATATATAGAGGGGGGGAAGGAAGATAAATCGTATGACTGAAAAAATAATTAAAAAAAAAAACAATAATAATTAATTATCCATTTAACACCTTCATACACTGGTACGTTGGACTCTTTTTTTTTTTTCTTCTTTTTTCTTCTTTACACAAATTTTCGTCAATTATAACATTCATTCCAAAATAAAAACACGCACACACTTTTATCGTTTTGACGATTAAGACTAATATTTCATTATTATTATTATTATTATTATTATAATAATTTTTTTTTTTTTTTTTTTTTGCTTTTTTTTCCATAATATTTACAAAGAAGCGTCTGTGTCTTGTAGAGCGCGAGCTCCTCTCCTTTTTGAGAAAAAAAAAAAACCGGGAGATGGAAAAAAAAAAAAAAAATATTAAAACTTATATTAATTGAAGGAAAAATACGGCATTGCATTTGCAAAATGATGTGGAATTTTTTTATTTATATTAAAAATAAATTTTAATCTAAATTCTTTTTTTTTATGATTTAAAAAACAAAAATTTGTACAGTTTTTGAATTAAAATTCAATAAAGTAAATGAAAATTTGAATTTATTTTTTAAACATAAAACTAAAGAAACGTTTTTTAGCAAACTTTCTTTAAAAAAAAAAACCTACTGTTTTTTCTTATTTTATTCCATTGTCTTAAAAAAAGCGTACTATAAAAATACAATCAAAAATACAATAGGACAAAAGAATTTAATAATTAATTAACAAAATTAATGGCTTGTTTTTAAATTTCCATTATAGCAAATTGTTTAATTAAGTTTTTTTTTTTTTTTTTTTTTATCTCAAAATAGATATATTTGTCTAAAAATAAAAAAATTAACATTTCTAAATTTTTTTTTTCATCAAAACAAGATCCTAACGATCATTTTTTTTTCCCTCTTTCGTTTCGATCAATAAAATACTAAAACCAAAAAAAAAAAATTCTACAAAATTCCATTTCATTTTGCTTCACTAATCACAATAATATTAAAGACATTGCAAAAAAAAAAAAAAGTTTTATTAATTTTTTTTTTTAGTAATAATTTCTTTTAAAAAAATGTATGTTCTTGAAATTTTATTTTCTATCATTTAGAAAGAAATTGAAAAAGAAACTACTTTTTTTTCTCGATTTATTTTGAAATATCGTTATAAATTTAAAAATACATTTTTAGCATAAAATTTTATACAATGAAATTAAAAGTAAAAAAAAAAACTTTTTTTTCGTAATGCCTTTATAAACGCATAATTATCGCATAAAAGTCATTAGTTATTAATTTTAAAGAATTTTTGAAACAATTTTATTAGGTACAATTTTTATTTAGATAAATTTTCATTTTTCGAATTAGCATTTAAGGGAATATCAACTTTTTAAACGAGTTTAAATTAATTAATAATTAATGAAAAAAAATTAATTAGTAAAAAAAATAATAACTAATTGTTGGTAGAAATATAAATGAAAAAATAGACAAATTTCACTAAAAATATCAAAATTTCAGAGCGTATAAAATTCCCATTAAAAATCCTCAGTTAAAATTTTTATTTTAACGAATTTTATTAGAAAAACATTATTTTTTCGACAAATTTTCATTTTTTAATTTATTATTTTGAGAGAATTTTTTTTAAACAAATTTTTACTTAACAAAATTTTTATTTTACAAAATTTCTCTTTACCAATTTTTTATTTTAAAAAAAAATTCTACTTTAACCGAATATTTATTTAGAAAAAATTCTAATTCAACTGAATATTAATTTAGAAAAAATTCTAATTCAACTGAATATTAATTTAGAAAAAATTCTAATTCAACTGAATATTAATTTAGCAAAATTCTAATTAAACAGAATTTTTAAAATCGCAGAATTTCAAAATTCCTCATTTATTCGAATTTTTATTTCCACTAATTGTTAATTGATAAAATTATAAAAATGTCAAATTTTCATTTTTCCAAAATTGCAAATGTTCAAATATATAGAGAATCGACAGAAAAATTTCGATGCGAATATAAAAATTAACCAATCACAATTTTCTTATTTTTTTATTGATTAATTTTTAAATTCGCGCCGAAATTTTGCATTTGCAATTTCGGACAAAGAGAAAATTAACTATTTTAAAAATTCTATCAAATATAAATTCGACAAAAAACTATAAATTCGGATAAATAAAAATTCGAAAAACTGAAGATTCGTTGAATTTGAAAATGCTGGAATTTTGAAAATTCGAATCACTTGAAATTCTGTTCAATGAAAATTTTGCTAAATCAATATTAAAAATTAGATTTTTTTTTCAAATAAAAAGTTGGTAAAGAGAAATTTTATAAAATAACAATTTTGATAGATACAAATTTTGTACATACAAATTTGGTATATAAATATTTTGTTAAGTAAAAAATTCGTTAAAAAAAAAGAAATTGAATGATAATTCGAAAAATTTGTTGAAAAAAATAATTATATCTAATAAAATTCGTTAAAATAAATATTTTAACTGATAATTTTTAGGGAAAATTCCTACGTCCCAGAATTTTTAGTTATATTTTCAAATAACCAAAAAAGTGAATTTACCTAATAATTAATTTAATAATTAATTTAGTAATTAATTTAATAATTAAATTACCAAATTATTGAAATTTAATAAAAATTTCCAACTAAATGATTACGAGAAATATTATTAAATCAGTGACTGACTTTTCGCAAATCAAAAATTTATTTATCATACACTGTCACAAAAATTAATTATCTATTTTTCAATTTATTTAAATTAAAAAAAAATTAAATTAGAATAATCTCTAAAAAAAAAAATCCCCAAAACAGAAATTCTATGAAATGAAAATTCAATCAAAAATTCAGTTTAGTAAACATTTTTCCTAATACAAAAAATAGAAAAATTCCTCTAAAATGATAAAAAAAATTTCCCTCTATTTTTTTCAGCGAAAATTCGACTTTGTCGATAATTATGCACCATTTAAAAAAATACCATTAATACCAAAAAAAAAAAATATTAAACTTTCGCAAAAAAATTCCTAATCATATATGCAATCCCGTTAAATCCACCAAAAAAAAAAAAATTGTTTTTTTTTTTTAAAATTGTAAATTAACATTTTTAATACAAAAAAAAAAGTAAAATACTTTTTTTTAGAAAATAAAAAAAATGATGATGATAAAAAAAAAATTGGCGTACCGATTTTTTTTCAAAATTCTTTTTCCCTTCTTTTTGTTTTTTTAGGACTCTTTGGAAGAGTAATAAAAATGGGGTAGTTGTCGTTGTTGAATAATCATCATCATCATTATTATTATTATTATTATTATTATCATCAATCCTCGTCGGAGAGGGGCTCATATTGCGCGGAGAGAAGTGGCGCTGGTTCTGGTTGTATGTGCTCAGATTTTGGCAACGATGCAGTTGCCGATGAAGGTGGCGGTGGCGCAGGTGGTGGACCCGTATGAACGCCAAGTGCACTAAATGGATAAAATGTCGTTGGCGCTGGTACTGGTGGTTGATTTTGTTGTTGTTGTTGTTGTTGCTGTTGTTGATTTAGATTATCATCAATGACAATTTCACTAGCACCACCAATACCGGCTGGACTTTCAACACGTGGTTTATTATTATCATCTTTATCATTCGCGCCTACTCCTCCTCCACCACCAATTCCGCCGCCGCCATTACGTTCAACATTAACACCTTTATCATCCTCTGAGGTACGCATTACTTCGACAATTTTATTTTTTACATAATCAAGTGGCGAGAGACTGTGCTTATTGGATGGGTTACCGGAAGTCGTTGTGGCAGTGGTCGTTTCATAGAAGCGTCGAGCATAATGATTTGTCGTTGCTTCTGGTGGTGAAACTGGTTCAACGGAAAGAAATTGTTGTTTACCAACGGATTGACTTGATTGTGAGGATTGTTGCGATTGTTGTTGTTGTTGTTGTTGTTGGGCGACACGAATTATTTGTCGCTCATCCTCTGATTTCACTGTGTCTGGGTCCAATCCTTTTCTTCGTTTCCATTGATCCTCGGAAGTTTGATATCTAAAGGGGAAAGAATTTTTTTTTTTGTGAAAAATATTGTTTTTTTTTGGTAATTAAAAAAATTGATTTGATTTTTTTAAAATTAATATTGATTTTATTTTTTTAAAATTAATATTAATTTTTTGAAATTAAGACTGATTCTATTTTTTTTTTAAATTAGAAATTAAATCAAAATAAAGCAAAAACAAAAAGAAATTTTAAAAAATCAAAATAGTGCAAGAACGAAACTAACAAAAAAAAAAATAAAACCAAAATAAGACAAAAATTAGTAGAAAATAAAAAAATAGAACCAAACTAAATTTAAAGAAAAAACAAATAGAAACTAATAAAATAAAACAAAAAAAAAAAGAAAAGAAAACCAAAATGAATCTAAAAAAATAAAACAAAAAGGAAATAAAAAATAAAAACCAAACCAAAATTTAGAAAAAACAAAAAAGAAAGTTTTTTTTTATTTTATTTTGAGCAAATTAAAAAAAGCAAAAAAAAAAGAAAGTATAAACGAAAAATGTAAATTAAAATTAAATCAAAATAAGGCAAAAACAAAAAATAAATTTAAAAAAAATCAAAATAGGGCAAGAACGAAACTAACAAAAAAATAAGGCAAAAATTAGTAGAAAATAAAAAAATAGAACCAAACTAAAATAAAGAAAAAATAAATAAAAACTAATATAATAAAACAAAAAAAAGAAAAGAAAACCAAAATGAATCTAAAAAAATTAAATAAAAAATAAAAACCAAACCAAAATTTAGAAAAAAAAAACAAAAAAGAAAGTGTAAACTAAAGCAAAAGGAAAGTAAAAAAAAAAAAATAAAACCAAAATAAAACAAGAAATTATAAAAAAATAAAATAAATAGAGAATAATAATAGTAAAATGAGAAAAAAAAGAAGAAACTCACCCTGAATAGGGTCGGTAAGACGACAGTGGAGGTCCATAATCTTTGGCGACAATATGTTCAATATGCTCGCCAAGAGTAACATTTTTGTTAACAACACCACCTCCACTTACTGTGACTGATCCGCTATTTACAGGATTATTATCGCTAGCAGGACTGTGTGCAACACCATTTGGTTCTGCAGGACTGTCTCTTTGGAAACCCTAAAATCAAAAACAAAAAAATTTATTTAAAAAAAAAGAAAAACCAATTTTATAATAACTAAACAAAATTTTTTTAATTAAAAATTAATTATAAAATTAATTCTAAAATTAATTCTAAAATTAATTCTAAAATTAATTCTAAAATTAATTCTAAAATTAATTCTAAAATTAATTCTAAAATTAATTATTACAATTAAACTTTGACAATAATCGTAATTTCCGAAACAAAAATAAAATTATTTGGCAAATATTTATAAACATTTGATTTTTTTTCTTTTGAGTTTCCAATCTATGTACTATCGGTAATGTAGTAAATCGATTTTGATTAAAAATTATGAATAATAGATTTTTAAAGAAATTTTTTCCATTAAAATAGAAAAAAAGGTACAATTTTTTTTTTAAATTTATTAAATCACTTTACAAAATCATTCTAGTTTTATTATTATTATTATTACTATAATTATTATAAAAAAAAAAATTTTTGACCTTATGCCATTTTTACCATTTTGGCTGTCGGTAATACAGAAATCTAATTCTAAAAGTTTTAGTCAAAAATGTGTGAAAAAAAATATCTGAGACATTTAATTTAGATGATAAATAATACAAAATCACAAATATCTTGAAAATATTACTTATAGTATTTGAGAATTTTAGAGGAATAGTTTTTGCTAATACTGAAAAAAAATTTTACTACTATTTTTTTCTGTTAATTATTTAAAAAATAGAATAAAACTACTATTTCGGATGTAGGTAATGCAGAAATTTGAAAAATTTCTTTAAATTCTATAAAAAAATATCTGAGCACTTAATTTAGACGTTTAATAAGACAAAATTAGAAAAATTTTAAAAATATCACTTATAGTTTTTGAGAATTTTATTCGAATAGATTCTGCTAACCTTAAAAACGGCAGCTAAATGTTAATTCTACATTATTATAACTCGATTCTTATGGGAAATTAACAATAGTAGATTTAAGGGATATTTTTAAATCGAAAATAGAAAAACTACTACAATTTTTAAAGTTAATTACTTTAAAAAAAAATCTACTTTTTCGGATGTCGGTAATGTAGAAAACTAACTAGAAAACTAGTTATTTCTGTAAAAAAGTATTTGTGGCATTTAATTTAAATGCTAAATAATCAAAAATCGTAAAGATCTTGAAAATATCACTTATAGTTTTAGAGAATTTTAGTCAAATAGTTTTTGCTAATAATCGAAAGCGCTGCTAAATGTTAATTCCGCAGTAATAAAATTCGATTATTATGAGTAATTGATAATAGTAGATTTAAAGGATTTTTTGGAGATCAAAATATAAAAACTGCTATAATTTTTTTTGTTAATCACTTAATATAGCAAAAAAAATCGACTATTTCAGACGTGTCGGTAATGTAGAAATCTGACTAGAAAAATTTCAATAAATTCAGAAATAAATATCTGAGGCATTTAATTTAGAAAATCAATAATTCAAAATCGCAAAGATCTTGAAAATATTAATTATAATTTTTGAGAATTTCAGTCGAATAGTTTCTGCTAACACTGGAAAGTACTGCTATATGTTAATTTAGTAGATTTAAATGATTTCTTTTAGCTAAAAATAGAAAAATTTTACTGCAGTCTTTTAATGTAAATTATTTAAAGCAAAAAAAATCGACTATTTCGGATGTCAGTAATGCAGAAATCTAAATAGGAAAATTTCATTTATTTCCGTAAAAATTATTTGCGGCATTTAATTTAGATGCTAAATAATATAAAATCACAAAGATTCAGAAAATATTTTTTAACAGTTTTTGAGAATTTTAGAGGAATAGTTTCTGCTAACACTGAAAAATACTGCTAATTGTTAATTTATTAGTTTCAAACGTTTTTTGTTAGACTAAAATAGATAAAATTTACTGCAATATTTTAAATTAATTACTTAAAGCAAAAATCTACTTTTTCGTATGTCGGTAATGCAGAAATTCGGAAAATTTCAATTATCTCTGTAAAAACTATTTGTGGCATATAATTTAGATGTTAAATAATACAAAATCGCAAATATCCTGAAAATATTGCTTATAGTTTTTAAGAATTTCAATCAAATAGTTTCTGCTAACATTGGAAAATACTGCTTTATGTTAATAAAGGAGTTTCAATGGATTTTTTTAGATCAAAATAGATAATATTTGCCGCAATATTTTAAGTTAATTACTTAAAGCAAAAATCCACTACAATTTCGAATGTCGGTAATGCAGAAATTGGAAAAATTTGAATTATTTTTGTAAAAAGTATTTGAGGCATTTAATTTAGATGCTAAATAATACAAAATCGCAAAGATCATGAAAATATTCCTTATAATTTTTGAGAATTTCAGTCGAATAGTTTCTACTTAATTACTTAAAGCAAAAATCTACTACAATTTCGAATGTCGGTAATGCAGAAATTGGGAAAATTTTAATTATTTTTGTAAAAAGTAATTGAGATATTTAATTTAGATGCAAAATAATACAAAATTGCAAAGATCATGAAAATATTCCTTATAATTTTTGAGAATTTCAGTCGAATAGTTTCGACTTAAAGCAAAAATCTACTATTTTGGATGTCGGTAATGTAGAAAACTAACTAGAAAACTAGTTATTTCTGTAAAAAAAGTATTTGTAGCACTTAATTTAAATGCTAAATAATCCAAAATCACAAAAAAATATTGAAAATATTACTCATAGTTTTTCAGAATTTCAGTCGAAATTGCTGCTAACTTTGAAAAAAACGTAATTTTATGGAATTTTAGCTAAATATTACTGAAAATTTCATTCTAATTGCTTTCAAAATTTTTTTCCAAATTTTTCATAGAAATACATACCTGAAAGAGTCTATCACCGGGCCTCTGTTGATTATTCGAAGACGGCGTTCCAGGCGCATTATCCGTACTCTGATTAATTTGATGTGTAATAATAGCATCAATAAGACTCGCGGCAGTGAGTGTCGACGAACCATCGCCCTGTTGTTGTTGTTGTTGTTGATTCGGTTGTTGTTGTTGATTTTGCCTCGACGGCTGTTGCTGCTGCTGCTGTTGCTGCTGTTGTTGTTGCGTTGGTTGATGCCTCGATTGTGAAAAACCACTACTCATAACTCTCGAAGTTTCCCTCTCAAGATGTGGATGTTGTTCACGATAAATTTGCGCAATATGCCGTCTCTCCGCCTCAATTCTCTGTTGATGTTGAATATGATGCAACTGATGTTGATGCTGCTGCTGCTGTTGTTGTTGTTGCTGCTGTTGCTGCTGCTGCTGCTGTTGATGCAAATGAGCAAGTTCTCTTTCCCTCTGCTGTTGCACTGCAATTCGATGTTCCGCCTGTTGTTGCATTTCCTTTTCCCTCTGATGCTGCACCGCCAAACGATGTTCCTGTTGCTGTTGTAATTCCTTTTCACGTTGCACTGCCAAACGATGATGCTCCTGATGTTCCTTCTCTCGTTGTGCGGCAATTTGTTGTTGCATTTCTTTTTCCCGTTGCTGTTGAATGAGACGATGATCTTGAAATTCTTTTTGCACAAGACGATGGTCCATTTCTTTTTGACGATGCGACACGTGTTGATCTTGATGTATTTCCTTCTCGCGATGATGATGCACAGCGATGCGATGCTCCATTAAATAGTCTTTCTCGCGCATTTCTTTGATTCTTTGTTCCTCTTTTTCGCGTAGATGAACTAAATCACGTTCACGTTCACGATCCTTTTGCTGTTGATGATGTGCAACTGCCATACGATGCTCCATGGCGATGCGATGCTCCTGTAGACGGATTTCTTGCTCGCGAAATGCACGATTGTCGGTTACGTAACGATCGGCCATGAGACGATCGACCATTGTTTTGCCAAGGCCCTCGTGACCGGCGCCACCACCACCACTGGAACTACTTGTTGGCGTTGAATGATGAGGATGCGGTACAGGTAGGCTTGGTTGTTGTACGGCAACATCGACAAGTGATGAGAATGCCTCAAGACCCGGTGGCGGTGGATAGTGAATTGGTTTTTGTGTATTGTGCCTCTGTATCACACCCTGACGTGGTTGGGTATGGGTTTGTGGCGGTGGTGGTGGTGTACTCGCGTAATACAATGCCGAGGTGGGTGGTTCACTTTTTACCGGTGTCTCGGCGTTTGTCACTCGTCCTCTTCCGTGCATTTGTTGACTTGTGATGTAATCGTTGATAATTATTTGCCGCGATGATAATTGTTGTTCGGTATTGTAACTTGGTGGTGGTCGTGCTGAATAGGAATTATATTGATTGGAAACAACAACGCCACTGCTTGGATTTTGACCGCCGCTTTGAACAACGTTACTCGTTGAAACTGGCGAATGACGAATTGAACGATGATAGTCGTACATTTGTTGTCCGCGTTTATCAACAGCGAATGGATGAACGGGCGTTCCTTGAGTTATTGAACCGCCGCCACTTGATTCCTTGGGATTCATTGTATTACTACCGGGCGGTGTCATTTGTCGTAAGAGACCCTCGTACCTTGCACCAGGCACTGGAGTGCCGTGCGTTATTGAACCTGTCTTGTGACTTGTGCTGATGTTGGTTAATTTTGGTGAGAGTTTTGGATGTGGAGGCGGTGGTGGTTGAGGCGCTGAGACGACTTTATTAATTTTTTGAGCTAGAGGAGGCGCCTGATTGGAGCGTGGCGATGAAACATAGACAAGGGGACTTTTTGCACCGCGATTACTTTGAACAACGTCGGATGGCGTGTGGGGATGATAGTAGGCGCCTGGCGGTGGTTCGGAACGATAGAGAGAACCAGATGATTGAGGTGGTGGTGGTGGTTTATGTTGAGGCGGTTGTAGCGAATGATTGTAGTCCTGTTGACGGGGTTTTTTGATACTTAAATCAAGTGTACCCTCAGTGTCGCGTAATGTTTGTTGTACTTGTTGTACTTGCATCACAACAAGACCCTCTTTTGGTAAATGATCTGAGGATTGGGTTTGACTACTTGGAACCGATGGTGGACAGGGTGTTATGGTCGCTTGCATTTGACCTAGAGGAGAAAAATCATTTTTAGATTATATTATTATAATATTATTATAATACTAGCAATATTAAACGCGCGCAAGCGCGCCAAATTGACTATTTCATTATTTGTTATAGAGAAATTAAAAATTAATATTATCAATAATTATTTAAATTTATTAGAATATTATTCCATATTAAATGATAAAAATAAAAATTATATGTTTATAGGCCTCAGATTATTAATTATCAAATTATTAAATTTTAAATTCAAAGTCTTTTAAAATTCAATTATTTTCCAAATTTTCAATTTAAAATCAAATGAAATTCAATTATTACCCAAAATTTCCATTCAAAATCAACTAAAATTCACTTATTTTCCAAATTTTCAATTTAAATTCAAATAAAATAAAATTATTTTCTAAAATTTCATTTCAAATTAATGATCAAAAATCAACTAAAATTGAATTATTATTTAAAATTGTAATTGAAATTTAATTATTTTCCAAAATTTCAATTCAAAATCCAAGACAATTCAATTATTTTCCAAATTTTTAATTCAAAATCTTTTAAAATTCAATTATTTTCCAAATTTTCAATTTAAAATCACATAAAATTCAATTATTATCCGAAATTTTAATTTAAAATCAACTAAAATTCAAATATTTTCCATATTTATCTATTGAAAATTAACAAAAATTCAATTATTTTCCAAATTTTCAATTTAAAATCACATAAAATTCAATTATTATCCGAAATTTTAATTTAAAATCAACTAAAATTCAAATATTTTCCATATTTATCTATTGAAAATTAACAAAAATTCAATTATTTTCCAAAATTTCAATTCCAAAATCAACTAAAATTCAATTATTTCCCAAAATTTTAATTCAAAATCAAAGAAAATTCAATTACTTTCCAAATTTTTAATTCAAAATCTTTTAAAATTCAATTATTTTCGTAGTTTTCAATTTAAAATGAAATAAAATTCTTCAATTATTTTCTAAAATTTCTATTCAAAATTAATTATCCAAATTTTCAATAAAAAATGAACTTAAATTAAATTATTATTCAAAATTTCAATTAAAATTCAATTATTTCCCAAAATTTCAATTCAAATCAAAGAAAATCCAATTATTTTCAAAATTTTCAATTCAAAATCAACTAAAATTCAATTATTTTCTAAATTTAAAATCAAATAAAATTTAATTATTTTCTAAAATTTCAATTCAAAATTAATTATTAAAATTTTCAATAAAAAATCAACTAAAAATGAATTATTATCCAAAATTTTAATTGAAATTTAATTATTTTCCGAAATTTCAAATCAAAATTAAAGAAAATTTAATTATTCTAAAAAATTTGAATTCAAAATTAATTGAATTTTCAATAATCTGAATTTAAAAGCATTTAAAATTTAATTATTTCTAAAATTTTCCATCGAAAATTTTTTGAAATTTAATAATTTCAATTATAACTCTAAGGGAATTCAATTATTTTTAAATATTTTTATAATATTCTTTGAAAATTCAACTATCTGAAACCATTTTTTAAAATTAAAAATGATTATCAAATTATTGTATTTTGTCTGTAATTTCTAATAAATTTTTTAGTGAAATCATATAAAATTTTAATTAAAATCACTTGAAGTTCAATTAATTTCTAAAATCTCAATTTTAAATCTTTTGAAAATTCAATTAAATTTAAAAAATGTTTTCCAACAAATTTTTTGATAAATTATTTTTAGTTCTGTAAAATTTTATTATTGTTTGAAAATTAACAATATCTTTTGAAATTTAATTATTTCTAAAATTTTCAAGTTTAATTTGACACAAATTTGACACGTCATAAGATTACTATTCAAAAAACACGTGAAATCATAAAAGACCAACTTCAAGTTAGGACAGAAGGACAGACCAAGCATTTTATTATTATATAATTATTATTCAGGTACTAAATTAAAAATAAGTCCAAAAAAATACTCACCAATTTGTTGAGGACTGGGAATTGATCTGTGCCCATGATGTGGACTAGAGACAACAGATAATGTGGCGAGATTGGATTCACGATTTTGCGTTGGCGCTTGTGACATACTTGTTTGATGCTTATATTCGCGAACAAATGTAATGTCATTGCGATGATCCGTATTGAGAATACTTGATATTGTCGGTGTACCAGAACTAATTGGCACTGAGGAACTGCCAGTATTCGCTGGACTATTGGGATTCCTCTTGAGTTGCATTTCAATGACACCTAACATGAGATCCTTGACAGTCAATGGATTTGTATTGCTTGTTGTCGATGGTGAATGACTCGGCGGCGGTTGTTGTTGTCTTTGCTGCTGCTGCTGCTGTTGTTGTTGTTGTGAGGTTTGATGAGGCGCCATTGACGAATTAGAACTCGATGTTGACACCGTTAACACAATACTATTCTCCAAATCAGCACCACCCTGACCTTCGTCCGCCGTCTCCTGGAACAAGCAGTCAGTCTCTATCAGATGGCCCATTGCCATCACATAATACTCAATAGTTTTAATTTCTTTTTGAAATACAAAACTATTTTTACTATTTTTCAACCGATTTTGTATTTTTTTTTTGGTCTTTTTGGCAAAAAGGCAGAAAATAAATATTCGTAAAGTGGTAAAAATTAAATAAAAGAAAGAAATTATAAAATTTGGTATTGAAAATAAAAAGTAATTGATATTTTGTGAATAGAAATAAATCTTGATCTTACCGTGGCAGAACTATCGTAATCCTCACGAGCGGGAAGTGAAACAGTACAGGGTAATTGCTGTGCCGATGAGGACGATCCTAACGAAACGACCGAAATATCGGCAACTTTATCAACGACTTTTTGATCCACAGATTGCGAAAATGTAACCGTAAGTGCAGTCGAAGTCGATGTAGCCGACACTACTGGAGTTGTACTCGAAATAGTATTCGCTGGACTTCCCGCACTTGCCGTGTCACTTGTATCGTGAACCTAAAAAGAAAAAATATTTTTTTAAAATTTTTCTTTCCTTTTATAGAAATTAAATATTTTTCTCTAAATTTTTGTTTCAAAATAAAATTTTTCTGTCTCCTTTTTTTTTTTAAATTTACAATAGAATGGAAAAAAAATTTGATTTTTGAAAATATTTTCAAGAAAAGAAAAAAAAAAACTTACCGCAATTTCGTCGCAACTACTTGTACTGCTTCCACTTTCCTCCTCGTCAGTGAGACATGGTCGTCTTTCTTCGCCGAGAGATTGATAATATTCGGCAACAACTTGATCGAGTCCATGTTTCTTTCGATAGGTGAAATAATAACTTTTACATTGATGATTTGTTTTTTCGGCAATTTGTTCCGAGACTTTTGGCCAATTTGTACCGTGTTCACGTAATGCACGACGAAGTTGTTCAAGTTCCTCGTCGCTCCATTGTCCAATCATTGATGAATCGCCACCCTCATCAATTGTATCAGCGCCACCCGATAAATGTGGCGCCAATCGTCGTGATATTCGATTGAAACAAGTCGAACAACATTTTGTTGCATTATTAGGTATCTCTGCAAAAAAAAAATATATATAAAAATCAATTCAACAAAATCGTAAAAAAAAAATTTTAATTACAAAAGCAACACAATTTACCAAAGTAAAAAAAATTACAATTATTTAAAAAAATTATAATTTCAAAAGGCAAAAAAATATTCACAATTTACAAAAGCAAAAATAATTACAATTTACAAATAGAAAAAAATTTACGAATAGAAAAAAATTTATAATTTACAAATAATAATGTTTTGTAAATTTAATTGAAATTTTGGAAAAAAATTAATTTTTTTTTTTTTTTAATTATAGAAGAGCAACTTACGAAATTCCTTGACGACGGGATCGCGAATTTCAGGTGGGAGATCAAGCCATTTGGCAGGTAACGCTCTAAGTCGTTTGACACGATTCTTGGTGTTGGCATTATTGAGATTTGGACATCCAGGAAGAGGACACGTGACGTAGCGTCCTCGCACAGCCTTACAACGGCAGGTGTTACACACCCGAGCACCAGGTAATACCTGTTCTTCTTTGATTCCATATTGTGAAGCTTGACTCCTTGACAATGGTCGACTTTGATTGCCACCTTCGACAGTGCTTTGACAAACAGCGCACGTATGTATTCCCAATTGTCTTGTTCCAACTTCTGTAAAAATACAAAAAAAAAGCAAATTTATTTCAAAATTTTCTTTCTATTAAAATATTATTCTAATTCAAATTATTCAATTTTTATGAATATTATTGGAAAATTTATGTTCGTTTAAGAAAAAAATTAATTTAAAAAATTTTTCAAACTGAATTTTTTGGTAATATTTTTTATTTAATAGAATTTTATTCCAAAGTAATTTGTGGGAATATTTGTGCAATTATTTTTCAAAAATTTTTTGCAGTTATTTATTTTTGTTATCAAAATAGGTTTTTTTTTGGGAAATATTTTTGCTATTCTTTTTTATAAAAGAATAAAAATTAGTATTTTTAATATAAAATATTTTTAAAAAATTGTAATATCAAGTGGAAAAAATGATGGATTTTATATACGGATAAAAATTGAGGAAAATGAAGAAAATTGATAGAAAAAACAGACGGTAGGAACTACTTTGATTTTATCGAAGTCGATTGCAATATTTAAAAAAAAAAAAAAAAAAATACTAAAATCAACTCAAATTGAAATTTTTTTTATCATTATTATTTTTACATGAAAAATTCATAAGGACACGGTAATCGATATTGCGAATTTTATTAACCACTTTATTATCGATTTCTTTAAGATATGGACTTTTAGATTTCTCATTAATAAAACATTAAATTTATTTTTCATTTCTCCTCGAGGAAGGGAATAAATTTTTTTTTTCTAGAATTTTTTATTCTCTATTTTTTTGCTGATGGTTAAAATTTCATTTTTGTCATTCCAATTTTTCCTAAAAAAAATTTTTATTAGGAATATTTCTGTTTCTTTTTCAGTTTTTTGTTATAAAAATAATTTTTTGCAATTCTTTTTTTAAAAATTTTTACAGTTTTTTTTCGTTATCAAAATAGTTTTTCATTTTTTTTTTATTTTCAAGGGGATTTTTGGAAAAAAATTTTTCCAAATAAATTTTGTTGGTAATATTTTTGCAATTATTTTTTTTTTTATTGAAATTTTTTAGTGTTTTTTTTTAAATTTTTTACGGTTTTTTTTTTGGTTATAAAAAAATAGTGTTTTGATAATTAAAGGATGTAGAAAATGGGTTATAAAAGCATTGGAGTGAGGAGATCAGAAAGAAAAGGGGATATATATATATAGGAAAAGGGATTCGAGATGAAATGCAAAAAGGATGGTGAGGGTGCGCACACGGAAACAGAATAATTACTGAGGGACCTTGCTGGTTAACTAATTAAGGATAGCCAATTAAAAACTTCTCGCTCATCGTGCATGCACAGTGCCGTTTTTCACAGACCAATATAATTTAAATGTATAGAAATACACAGAAACGAAAATTTGTTAACGCTTGAAAAATTCAGATTCCATATAACGAGGGGCAAAACATTGTTTGTTCACTTTTCCATCACATCCATATATATAAATTTCATATATATATATATATATATATAACCCCATCAATTTATCTTTCATCCATTTTCCAAATTTATTTATTCAAATCGCGCAGTAAAAAGCAAAGCTTTCTTTCTTTCCCCCTTTTTTACAAAAACTTAATTATTTTTTAAATATATTTTTTTATATATATTTTTATTTTTTGTATATTTTTTATTTTTTATATATTTTTTATTTTTGTATAATATTCTATATATATTTTTAAAAATATTTTTCAAATATTTTTTTTTTTAGAAAAAAAATCCCTTTAATTAATTAATTAAAAAATTTATTTATTTCTTGGTTATTTTTTCGTTTGTTTATTTAAAATACAATATTTAAACAATGAAAATACCATCGGGATTGATTAATATATATATACAAAAATAAACTCAATTAAAATGAAAGCTGAAAAAATTGTTTGCACACATTGAATATTTCGATTTGGAATTTTTTTTTTTGTTTATTTTTCGATTTTGTATTTTTTTTTTTATTATTATTTTTATTAGCAATAAAGATACACAAATTAATTGAAATTTATTGCATTGTAAAATTAGTTATTTTTTTCGAAATCTAAGGTGAATTGATTTTATATATATATTTTTTGTTATTAGTTAATGGGACAGAAAAAAAATATTCATTTTTGATTCATTAATATGAGAGAAAATAATTTTCGAAAATTACATCATTCGCTTATGAATCTCCGATAATATATTGAAATCGGTGTCCATTCGTGAAATTCGACAATGATTGACAGTATATTGTGTCCCTTGTGAATTTTGCACTCACATATATATATATAGATATATAAATATATATGGGAAAATATTAATTTAGATTCTCAATTAATATTAATAAATTATTAATTCGATTAAATTGGGAAAATTTGTTTAAATATTATTGTAATCTATGTAAATTTCGTTAAATATTATTTTGTCCCGGACAATATATTTATTTAATGAAAAATTTCATTTTCAAAATTACATCTTTTAATAATAAATTTGGAAATTAAATTTTTAAAAAAATATATATTTTCAATATTAATTTAGTTTTGAAATTAAATTTCAAAATTTTCCAATCTTAAAGTTTCGAAATTAATTTTTTTCAAAATAAATTTCGAAATTAAATTTTTTTGAATCTTAATTTAGTTTCGAAATTAATTTTTTTTTTTTTAAATAAATTTCAAATCTTAATTTTGAAAATAATTATTTTTTGGTATAATAATTTTAAAAATCTAATTTTAAAAAAATTAAAAAATTAAAAATTAAATTTCGAATCTTAATTTAGTTCCGAAATTAATTTTTTTCGAAATAAATTTCCAATTTTAATTTTGAAAATAATTTTATTTTTTGGTATTATAATTTTAGAAATTTGATTTTCAAAGTACTTTTTTTTGGGTAAGTCTTTGAAAATAATTATTCCAAGTTATAATTTTTGATAATTTATATTCCGAATTTAATTAAAAAAAAAAAATTTTTTTTTAAATCAAAATATTCAATATTTTCTTTTTGTAAAATTAGCAAAAAAAAAATTTTATTTCACACACATTTAAAAATTTATTGAACAAATATTTTCTCGAGATGTGAATTTTTTTTTTCCCATCTCGGAAAAACGGAGAAATCTCTCTATATACTTTTCCGAATTTTTTACAGTTCACTGTAAAAAAAAATAAACAGAAAAAAAAATTCACTTAGTAAAATGAAAACTTTTTAATCGAGAGGAAAGGGAATTTCGATTCTCTCTCTTTCTCTTTCATTTTTTTTTTTTTTTTTTCAAAAAATATGGATCACTAATGAAAATATTAGACTTGGGTCAGAAATACTTGAGTTTGCGAAGGTTGAAACAAAAGCGAGTTTTTTTTTTTTTTTTCTTTTTTTTTTGAAAAGATAAATGAATAGAATAAAAAAAAAGTGAATCCCGCTAATTGAGCCAGTTCTCAGAATAAAGTAGGAATAATAAAAAGGGCTCGCATTTAATGTCGCATAAGAACACGGTCGTTCTATTCATTAGTAAAAAGTTTCCTTTGTCAAGAAAAAAAAAAAGAAAAATTTTTTTAACTGGAATTTTTATAAAATCTACTTTTTACTTTTTGTTTAGTCTCTTTTTTTGTAGTTTTATAAACTAAAAAATTTGTTTTTTTTTTTGAGTTAAAAATCTTTTATTCCTAATAATTTTTTATTTCTAAACAATTACAATTTCAATCAAATATTAAAATGAAAAAAATTATATTAATTTGTCAATTTTAGAAAATAATTTTTTTTTAACCAAAATAATTATTTTTTAAATAAAATATTTGTTTTTTAATAAGATAATAATTTTTTGATAAATGAATAATTTTTTTCAATAGAAAAATAATTTTTTGATAAAATAATAATTTTTTTATTTAAATTAAATTTATTATAATTTATTTATTTATATTTAATTTTTATTTAATTTATTATTTATTATAATAAAATAAATTTATTTAAATTAAATTTTTATTTTTTTAATAATTTTTGAAATAAAATAATTTTTCCAGATAGAATAATAATTTTTTTTTTTAATGATATAACTTTTGCAATAGAAAAATAATTTTTTAAATAAAATAATTCAATATTTAGAATCAAAATTTTATTTGTTTTGTTACTCTTCCTTGAATCAAAAAAAATAAAATAAAATAAATGCTTTTTCCATAAATTATTTGAATTTTACTAAACTTTAATGGTTATTATTGTTGAAATGATAATATACTTTGGCGAATGTGTAATACTTTATTTTTCATAAGTCGAAAACACAATGGAATATTTCTAAGTGGATTCAGTAGCAAAACCTTTTCCCCCTTGATCTCTTTGTTTCGTTGGTTTACATTATATATGCTCAATGATAATAACAAAGGGAATATTTTATGTCAAATGTACCTATGTGGCGAGAGAGTTGAGATAAAGGGTTTTATATATATATGTGAATCGACAATTTGGTGTAGTAACCGGGACTATAATCTTAGCTTTCGTTGAAAATATTTGTGATTAACGACAAATTATCTTTCGTCTCATAATTTTCCTCTGTATTGTGAAATTTCTCATTCCAAAATCTTGAGAATATATTTGCCAATAAGAAAAATTTAATTTATTTTTTTTTTTTTAATTAAAATCACAAAAATTGAAAAAAATTAATAAAAAAAAAATATTGTTTCAAATTTAAATATCAATAAAAAAATATTTATAAGAAGAAAAAAAAACATTTTTTCAAATTTAAATATCGAAAATAGAAAAATATTTATAAATATCGAAAATCAAATAGAATAGGTAATAGACGAAAAATATTTTTCCAATCACAAAATTTGGGAAAACTATAAATATCGAAAATTAAAAACAGAAACGGATGAAAAATATTTTTTCCGAATAGAAAATATTTTTCCAATATGAAAATTTGAAAAAAAAAACTATAAATATCGAAATTTAAAATATAAACAGAAAAATATTTTTTTAAATATCAAAATTTTTGTTTTTTTTTCAACTAAAATTAAATATCCAAAAAAATGTGGAAAAATTTTTTTCTGTAATTAAATATCAATTAAAAAAAATCTCTCGAAGAAA